CAAAATACGAGATTCAACACAATCCAAATGTTTAGAATAAGTAGTTAAAGTAGTCATGATGTTTGCTTGAGACTAGTTGAGTATAGTAGTAGGCTTGGGTCGAGATCGATAGACCTTTGTTATATGACCAATTTTGTCATAGAGTTAACAGATGACTTTTTGCTGATTATTATTATTGAGACACTAGAACTACTAGTAGTTGTAGTTGAAGTTATTTTTTTGAGTTATTTGGGTTGAAGTTGTTACCAAAGTTGGAGAGTTGATAGTGTAACGGAGGATGATGATCTTTTATTGAAGTTTTTGTTGCTTTGATTGTTTTTTTCATTGGATTTTTGATTGAATTAAGTTATGATAGTTGTCAAATCTTCCTCTCTTCCCATTTCGGATATGTTTTGTGATCAATCAGCTTGTCATATAGTTCTTCGAATGACATTTGGTGAGTCATGTGCCCAAATTGCTACCACTAATTCCTTATATTTGTCTCGTAAGCTATTGAGATTATAAATAATGATTTTTTTCATCACTTAGACGAAGATTTATTAAAGTCAAATCATTTATAATAATATTTAGATTTTACATATAATCAATAATAATACTTCCCTCGTATATTGTTTTCATCTAAATAGATAAAAGACTTAGCATGCATGTGCGAGAACGATTAACAAGTGTGGCTTGTAACTTGGACCATGCTTCTACTGTTGTACTATATGAAGATATTAATGATGCCATGGAATTAACGACTAAGACTTGAATGATTTATAGAATAAGACATCTTATTGTAGCCATAACTTGTGATTATGATTTGTCATTGAGATGAATTCTTCTGATATTTGAATTTTTTCTAGTGGACAGCTAAGAGAGCCATTGATGTAGCCCAATAGATTATATCCAAATAGAAGATTGGTAATGTGCTTATCAAGATGTATAGTTGTCACCTTTGGAGAGCTTGAAAGGGATTAAAATTGCTACATTGATAGATATAAATCTTGTAGGTTGAGATGAACTATTATTTCTAGAGAAAATAATAATTGAAGCGTCAGATGTGATGTAGAGAAGGAAGATATGCTAAGAAGTTGTTGTAATCTAATAAGAAAAATTCAAAGCCAATTAATAGTCTAATTTGGATGCATAGATGATGGATATCTGATCTATTGTTGGAAATCAAATTTGATAAGTGCATAGGGAGGATATAATCTGACAAAGGAGAACAGATATGAGAAATGCATAAGGGAGGATCAGATCTGAAAAATGCAGAAGAGGGCGATCTCTTCCTTTCTCTCTTTAATCCTCTTGATTGCGAGTGCTGATAACATAGTCAAAAGGATGGTGGTAAGTAATGGACTATCGTCGAGAGATTGACCATAGATCTAAGGCGCTATTGAGTTTGACGGTTGACAAGAAGAGGACGAGGATGCCGATGAAAATGTTTAGTAGATAGGAGCAGAGGGAATGCCCATTAAGCAAAACAACATAGCGATGAAGGATCATCGAAGAAGTTGGTCGATCATTAGATGAGGCTGATCATATTAGCAAAGTGGAGTAGATATATTGCAGAGCAAATCGCGCTAAGAGATTGGTACGAAGGAGTTGTGTGTATTCGTTTTGGTGCAATGCTAGAATATGAAAGTAGGAAGAGTTAATAAAGCAAAAACAAGCTAGGCGAGGAAAATAAATAATAGTTGCTAACAAATTAGCAAAGTAGAGGAAGAGAGACGGAGGAAGAGGCGGCCTTGCTTAAAGCAAGAAGACTATGATAACATGAAAATTTTGTTATGAAAAGGATGATTTCATTGTAATAATAAGTATTTATATAGGTTGTGAGAAAATGATCTTCCTCAATTATGTGCTCAAATTATGCACTTAAATCTGTAATTGATACTCAATTAAATGATCCTCAAAGATTGAGTATCAAAACATATAAAAAATATAAAATTATAATTTTATATTTATTTATATCATCATCTTCTATCATTCACTTCCCCACGAGCGACGGTAGCAACTGCTGGTCGGAGTTGGGTCGATCTTCTATGACTCGGCTACCACCCTGCCATCTCTCTCCTATGCGGCCTCAAATAGTCAGATCGATCGCCGTGGACAGAGGAGCCATCGGTCGTCTCTGATGAGCAAGCGAGAGCAGTCGGGATAACGTTGTCCGTCTTCATGTCCAACAAAAAGAAGAAATCATTCAGTGATGATCATACGCAAAGATTCGCGATGACCATCTCCCTTGCAGAAAGGGTTTGTCCGCGTCTGCACTGAGACATATATTTGCTGCGACAAGGATTTGGAACAACCTTCGCTTTCATGTCTGATCCATTCCAATATCTCAAGGACAGAGACACCACCATTGCCTGCTACACCTCGCACATCTCCGATCTCATTCGGGTAGCCTTTTGCCCAGTGAATCACTATGAATGGCTCTTGACGCTTAATTGGAGAACCATCACACCTAACCCACCGGTAATTTCACATCAAACACACTTCTGAACGGAACAACAAACATCCGAATGATTCCTTGATGTTTTATATATATATATATATATATATATATATATATATATATATATATAGAGAGAGAGAGAGAGAGAGAGAGAGAGAGAGAGAGAGAGTTATTTACTCATTTTCTATAAAAAGAGTCGTTTTTGTCCCCATCACTTCTTAACTACGGTCGACAAGGTAGAAATTTGCACCGACAGTAGTTGGTGAAGGCAGTAACGATACTAATTAGTTGTTGATGTCGTTATCTTTTGTCCGGTCCACCGACACTTACTTTGTTAGACCATCCAATTGGGTGAGGAAAGCACCAGCTGTTCTCTCTCTCTCTCTCTCTCTCTCTCTCTCTCTATATATATATATATATATATATATATATATATATATACCGTTCACACGTCGGATTGCAGGAGATACATATCAGCAAATGTTAAAAACATTTGCTTCGATATTATCATATGGCATGTGAGACCGGCATGAACAGCACATACTGCTCGTACGACCGTACCGAGGCGATGATGACTGCTCGTGTACGCAGCGAGATCGCGGGATTAGAAGCTTCTTTGAATTAACATCATGCAAGCAATTACATTCCCCTACCCCTGTTTATTCACTCTCAGTGCACTAGTAGCAATCACCAGTCAGAGAGAGAGAGAGAGAGAGAGAGAGAGAGAGAGATCACGTTACCATCGCTGGGATCTTTGTGCCCTGCGCCTCACTTACAAGCTGGCAGCGGGCCACCGCAGAGGCAGTGGTTGTCGGCGAAGGACGCGGGCTGGAGGTGGTCCAAGGGGGAGCCGACGGGGAGGGCGCCGCAGAGGCGGTTGTGGCTGAGGTCCAAGTGGCCCACGTAGGCCGCCATCACTAGCGTCTTCGGCACCGGGCCGCTCAACCGGTTGTACGACAGGTCCAGCGCAGTGTAGTACGAGTGGGAGCCGAACGCGTCCGGCATCTCCCCCTCGATGGCGTTCCGGCTCAGGTTCAGGATCCCCAGCCCCCGGCTGGAGAACAGCTCCACCGGGATCTGGCCGCTGAGCCGGTTCGAATCGAGGTATAGAGACGACAGAACCGGCGTCGACCCGAGGCTGTCCGGGATCTCCCCGGAGATGCGGTTCTGGGCGAGGTCGAGGTCGGCGAGCCGGGTCATGTGACCGACGGAGGAGGGGATGACACCGGAGATGCGGTTGCGGGCGAGGAGGGCGCGGCTGAGCATGCGCAGCTCGCCGAAGTCGCCGGGGATGGGGCCGGCGATCTGGTTGTTGCTGAGGTCGAGGTGCATGAGGGAGGAGAGGGCGGAGAGGGAGGCGGGGATGGAGCCGGATATCTGGTTGTCGGCCACGTTGAGGACGGCGAGGCGGGAAAGGTTGCCGATGTCGTCGGGGATGGGGCCGGAGAAGCGGTTGCCGATGAGGTCGAGGATGCGGAGGAGGGGGAGGGAGGTGAGGCAGGGGGGAATGGGCCCGGAGATGTGCTTCCAGTCGGCGAGGACGAGGGTGGTGAGGCGGTCCAGGCGGCAGATCTCCGGCGAGATACGTCCGTACATGAGGCCGCCGGAGCGGTCCTTCGATTCGCCACGGAGGGAAATGTCGGCTACGCGCCCGGTGGTGGGGTCGCAGCTCACGCCATACCACTGGGAGCAGCAGTCGTCGCCGGTCCACGAGGAGAAGATCCCCAGGTGCGGCTCAGACAGGGCCGACCGGAAGGCCAGAAGCGCTTCGCGATCGGATGCCGGGCATCCGGCGCCGCCGCCAGCCAATACAGCGACGACGAGGAGGACGAAGGAGAGCCTACGAGGCGGCATGGAGGGATGGGCGAGCCTTTCCTCGCTCTGTGCCCTGGGTTATGTGCTCCTTTGAAGGACGAGGGAAGCCCCGTGTCGAGAAGTGTGAGTTGTAAAGCAACGCAGATGAGATAAGATGGGCCGGATCCACATAGGCGGTGGGGGGCATTAGGGCCCATCTCATTTGATGCAAATAAATATAGTCGGCGAAGCATTCCGAATCAACTGTGCATTGCCAAGTAAGGAGCACAGGAAACAGCGATAAAAGGGATTGGATGTGCCGAGAGCACACAACAGGTCTGGAACCAATTAACATAAATCCAGCAGCTAAGAAAACAACTGTCTCTACCAAACCAATGCTAACATTAGATTCAAATCAGAGAATAAGAGGTGGAAACTACAACCAGGGGGCAGTACCAAAGAGTGAAGCAAACTAATCGAGACTGAAGATTCAAACTGATTTAAGTAGGCAAATATTCTAATATTGAAAGACTATGATGTGAATATTTAAGATTCAAATTGATTATATTTTAGTTTCAGCTAAGATGATCTTCACATACAAACACGTATTCTGATCAATGAAAAGCCACCCTGTTCAAGTTCCTTCCTCATCAGCAATCAAATCCCAAAAGACTTTTGGTGAAAAGAGTGACTAAGATTTAAGAGGAGATTGGTTTCCAGAATTCAAGAAACAGGCGACAAATAGAATCCATGGGTGACCTCCATTGTGGTCTATTTCATTCTGTCTCGATGTCGATCTATTGTGGGTGGAGTTATAGGTCATCCTGGTTTTCGTCTAATACATCAGCTGCAGCAAGATCCTTCAGTTGATGCTTATCTTTGTAATTGTGGATCATTGTTGGCAGGGGTTCTTTTCATTGAATAGCTGCATGGCTAGGCAACACATATCTAGATAATGTAAGTTAACCTCTTGGTTCTGCACATATGATGACTTAATGTAACAATCCATTTTTCGTTAAAATCAAGAAAGATGTAAGACTACTATGTGATCCTTAGACAACATTTCAGTCTTATAGTTTCTTTCCATTTCCAATTTGATGTCAAAATGCTACAGCAATTAGGTGCAGATTGTTATATGAGGATGCAAGTCTTCCATTCAATCGAAAAACTACTTTTGTAAGTCTAGTGAAACCAAAGTAGAACGAAAGATATCAATCTCGGAAAGATGACTTGGTGAAACAAAGAGGAATAGAGTAAGAACCAGATTAAGAATTTTAGCTTCAATGAAACAATCAGTGGCTAGTGAAGAAATCGCAATTTATTTATTAACTGTTAGGAATTAAACTAAAGCACTTAATGGGTACCAATGCTTGTTTCTCTAGAAAGGTAGTATGTACCAGATATTTTGTGGGAACATGTATGTATCTCACGATCGACGTCAGATTGTTCTACCAACAAGTTAATAGAGATGAGGAATTCTAACAAAAAAAATTACTTTCTCTAATCTCTATTCTATACCACAGTAAGAAAAATGCTTTACCATATCATAGCACACCCCTTGAACTAATTTTGGTTTGGTATATAATAAGCATTGAGGAGAACAGACTTCAATGAAGTACATAGGCAAAGCAGGCATCTCACATCCTCAAATGCAAAGTAAGTTTCGTTCTCTTTCCGTCAGCGAAAGATAGACATCAGAAATAATAAAAAAATAAATAATGGATTTTTCATGTATTCTGTGTTGTATATATCTGATAAGAAGGAAACTGCTTGACTAATATTGTATAATAACCACCACAAGTGAAAGACATTGGTGGGGTTAAACTAGTTCACTAATTAAACTAACTAAATCTTGTTTTATGATTAATTAAACTAATATTGTATAATAATTTATTCAAGTCATAAATTTTGTTTATGAGGTGGTGTACATACTTCGAATTGGCAAATTAAACGACTAGTTATTACTAAGAGAACAATAGGACACTGAAGAGGAGAATAAGGCATGAAATTTTTGTAATTTGTTGCACTAAATGCTCTACTATTCATTTTTGTAATTCGTAGAGTCAGCAACAGGATTAAATGTCTATCAATTTTTTCTCTAACCCCCTATTTCACTGAACATACTCACATAGAGCATTTATGATGTTCTATTGGTTACTATGCATGTGTTCCTTGTAGAATACATCCTCATTAAGATTTCACCTCATCTGCACCCCATAGTATAATCGTGCAATTTGACAAGATATAATTACTAATCCTACAGAATTTGTAGCTTGAGCAACAGAAGAATTCACTAAACAACTGGTGTGGTCATCATCACACCAATGGCAGGATGTGAACCGGACAGATATACATCTCAAAGTTCCAGTACTATTTGTCTTCGACATATGCATATATTCATATTATCCTGTGCAATTCAATTCAATTCAATTGGACAGTTCCCTTGATCTTCTTTCTCCTCCCAATGACAAATAAAAGACAATGAAACAAAAACAAGTATGATTTTTTCTTCATCCGAAGTCTATATTTTGCTTATTATCAATTCCAATGGACAAAATGTCCAAGATGATTCTGTTTATTGCTTGAAGAACAAAGATCTACCCACATACTCCGTGGCAAGATTATGTGGTTCTGTATCTGATTTCACACCTCATTTTGCATATTTATCTGAATCAAATTAGTTCATCGAGCTACATTTCAAATTATACCAACATGTCAACAAAATCTAACAGGCACATCCAAAATCATACACCCAAAAGAGAAATGGGAGCAGCACAGTTCAAATAAATAGCAAAGCAGATAGATTTCAGATTACCCGAGCAATGAATCAAGTAGACGACGGGCCATTCTGTGATCAGAAGTAGAGGGCCATCTGGATGTTCTTCTCCGTGAACCCACACTTCTCGTAGAACGACCTCAGATCGGGCGTGCAGTCGAGTATGACCTTGTAGCAGCCAGCGGCCTTGGCGTGGTCCGCGAGGTAGCGGACCACCCGCTGCCCCAGATGTTGGCCGCGGGCGGCGGCGTCGACGACGACGTCCTCGATGTGGCCGACCTTGCTGCCGCCGCGGAGGAACTTGCGCTCGAGGAAGACGCTGCCAGTGGCGACGATCCGGCCTGAGCGTTGGTCCTCGGCTACGACGATTAGGTGGTCGTCTCCGAGGGCAGCTAGGTCAGCGAATCGGGCAAGGAAGTCGGCGTCGGAGAGGGGTGAGGTGGCGGGGCTGAGCTGGGAGAGGAGCTCGACGAAGCCCTTGGCGTTGTCGGAGATCTCGAGGCGGCGTAGCGGGAGGAGCAGATCGTCTTCCTCACCATCGACAGCCATCGCGTCCGATCGCTCTTCCTTTTCCCCCTTCGAAACTAGCCGGAACTTCGATGGATCGAGTTCCACTTGGTGCCACCAATTACTACTGAGCGGATCATCCAGCGATCACCACGTGGGAAACACGTGACTCTCTTAACGGGCTTTTCGGCTCGTTCGGATCGTGACACAAGAATCCGATAAGAAGACCCTAGCATACGAGCCTGCTTCTAACACAAACATGGTTTCAGAATCTGCAACTACGAAAACACCATGACTTCCATCACAATAACCCCATGCCATCAATATTATTAGTTCCTCGTTTCTTTTCAGTCTCACTTCATCTGTAAGACAATACATTTACCTTGTTAGACGGAAAGAAATTACAGTTGTTTTATCAAGCCTGTACTCATAGAACAATACAGTTTCAGGATGGATAATCGATTTCGACAGCTCCTGCAAGCACCGAATCCATGAGGAGAGCAAAGGTCAAAGAGAATTGAGTCACTGATATCTGCAAAGAACCCGGCACTTGAGAACAGTATCTTGAATGTAGAATCCTGGCATGACCATGATCTTAACTCGGCCCGGGATTTGTGCTGTCTTTCTGTCTACAGGAATGTCTTCCATGTAAAGAGGATCGAAGTTCTGATTCTCCTCAACTCGCAGGATCATCAATGGTGGGCCGAACGAGAAAGCGAGCAGGTGAAGCAACCATATGCATTTGGCAGCCACAAAGAAGCAGTGGAGGAGCTGTTCGGGCCATGCTCTTGAAGAATTTAGCAAGGAAACGATGCAGCTCATTTTTTGATCACAGAACCTGCTGAAATCTTCACTGTAGTACTTGGTCCCCTTGCGCAGTACCTCATTCCAACTCAAGTTCCGTAGTGAAATGAATGATGAGAAGTTCTCCTGGCGATCTTGCTGCGGATCTAGAAATTTTGGTGAGCCATTCTTCTGGAACACACAGTTCTCGAAATCCTGATACAAAGATTGGTTTATCAGAGCTTCCACATGGTGTAACAATGCTTTCGAGTGTTTATTACTGGGTGGTGCCATCTGGTGAGGCTGGAGAAGCGATTTCAGCTTCTCCATCAGTTCACAATCAGTCTCTTCGATTTGATGGATCAGCATCTCGCAGAACTGTTTGACGGATAGCCTGGCTTCTGATACCATCTGCAGAAAACCTTCCGCCATTACCTCATGGCTGACGGTCATCGTGTTGTCTTTTATGCTGCCATTGAATTTTGTTCTCATCGGCAAACTAGGCCGGTCCAAAACCAGGGAATTCTTCGCATGCTTTGCCTGCTTTAAGGCCTTCTTCAACTCTTCACAGTATGTCTCTAAATTGACTAGCTTTTGTTGCAGCTCTCCCAGCGAAGACCTCATTTCTGAGACTTCTGCCAGTGCTGCGTCCCTGTTCTTGTTGGCTTTAAACACTTCCTTCTTCACCGATTCAAGTGAAAGCAATCCCCAGTCCTTCAAAAGCTGAGCCATGTCTTCGGATTCTACAGGGTTTGGCGACATCTCTGGCTTGGGTTTCTTCTTCAATCTGGGGAATAACCATGACAGGATAGGCCCTCTGTGCTTGGTGTGCGCATGTGTTGGTGGCTCTGAGTCATGCAATGATCCTACTATGCTCGTGACTGCCTTCAAGTTCTTATGCTCGATTTCGTATTCCCGATTGATGGTTGGAGGCTTGCATGCGTTGCATGTAGCGATGGTTTCGTATCCTGGACTGGTTCTACTACTAGAAGAATTGAGGGCATCAGCCACAAGAGAAGCTTGCAAATTGTGATTTACGCATGAGCTTCTCTTGGAGAAATGTTCAGTTGTAAAGCAAATGTTCCGCTCGCTGTAAGGGGAAGAATGTTCATTTCTAACTATGTTTACTGATTCATCTTGCTTGCCTTCTGCTGGCTTCATGGCTCTCCAGGTTCCTGATAAGCTTCGGTTTTCTGGATGGATACTGTGATAAGCTCGTAATGGCTCTTCTTCGTAACTCTGCGAAACATAGATAGACATTTTGAAGTTTCAATTACAAAACAGGGGGAAGAACAGAAAATAAATAAAACAGTTTTAATGAAAAGTGTTGTTAGATTAGAATATGTTGAGATTTCAGATTCCTGGAGGCCATAATTCTATTCAGATCAGTAACAGAGTGAAGAATGTTCCCAATAATTGTTCACACTAAAAACATACATTCATATCTTAGTTTAGCCCTACTACTCTGCTGTGTTTTCGAGTTCATTGGGTATCAGATTCAAGTGAAAGAATGAGCAAACTATAGTCATGGGAAAGAGTAAGCAATATCTTTATGGAGAAAACATCATAAAATGAAATCAACAATAAACCTATATCGAAGAGACCAGAGCCTACAGTAGTATTTGATTGATGGAAAAAATGAGAAAAATTATGAGACATTAAAACTCATTAGCCTAAGAATGCAATGTGATATGATCCATATTAAAATTATCATTAACATGACTACAGTTGTGGATAATTAAAGTCCTCAACAAGATCCAAGCCTAGAAAGAGGAATCAAGAAGAACAACTGTTCATAGCTAAGATACTCAAAGTTGGAAGTAAATGACACTCAATCAAGTTATCCCTGCTGTAAGATGAGACATGATTAATAATCAGCATAAAAAACAACTCTAGTCCTAGAATCCCTAAGCTACCAACCAGAGAAATTTAGAGAGGAGGATCTTATTATTTTGGTTTTCATACATTTACTTGTTGGTGTAGTTATACTAGTTGGCAGTTCATTCATAATGAGAGTCTTAGCACTACAAGATGTCTCATCTCTAAGACAAATAAAATTTCTGCATGCCAAGGATGATGGATGTTGAGACAGAGGGAAGCATTGCTAGACACATCCATCCTTGAAGAAGAAGAATAGCCACCACATATATAGAGTCCCTCCCAAGACAAAAGCACAAGGAAGTGTGAAGACCAAGCAGATTGCTCGTTGCAAGTGTGAAGACCTTCGAGAAAAGAAATCTAAATTACCTCGCTATATTCCAAGATATCAAACATCAGAATCAACAGAATACAACCCCAGAAAAGATCCTAGTGAGCACGCATAGAGCAACCTGGAAGTAGTTCGCAGCCACATTCAAGAAACGAACAAGAAGGAACATACCAAGAAGCTCCAAAGGTTTTAATGGAAGTTAACAACGACGGAATCCACTTGAAATCCTCCAAAATATTTGTCGCGATACTAACATCAAGAATCCACCAAGGTCAAACCGAACGAAGAATCGATCGAAAGATTCACACCGAGTTAACGCGTTTATTAGAGACGAACAAGTGAATGAAGCTAAAGGCTGAGGGCAGCAAGAATCCTCACAGGTGCGAAGACGGGGTAGTCTTCGGCCGTGGAGAGCGGATTAGAACGCCGCAAGAGAGAAGGGGAAGCACCGACGTGGGGGCCGAGGACGGCGGGGCTGCCAAGGTTGCTCCTTTGCAGCAGCGCCGCGTGCAGAGACCTCAGCTCCACGGCCTTGGCAATGGCGGCGTGGACATCCTCGTTCTGGGTCCCATGCGGCTGAGAAGAAGCGGTGGAAGAAGCCATGGCACCAAGAAGATATCGGAGAGCGGGGACTGAACTCAAAAGGGCATGGTGAGGTGGTCATAATACTCGAAGAGAAAACTATGGAAGAAGAGAGACAAGATTCGAGGAGGAGGAGACAAAGAAAAGAAGAAATGTAACGCTGGTTTACTCTCAGAGGTCAGAGGTGGTGGAGGATGAGCGCGGGGACCTTATATACATACGGAGGACAGCCTCTGTTCTTCTTCGTTCCTCGTGGAAGGGATGAAGAGAGGTTGTCTGCATGGGTGTCCGCAGCATTCGGTGTGTGTGTTTGCAGTTGAAATATATCTCCTGCAATAATAATAATTATTTTTCTAATGACTAGATTGAATGAAGGTGTAAAAGATTTATAGATCAATGTAATCCGAATTCCATCAGATCGAAGAAGTTGATTTGAGGGCAGAATTGTGACAGTGATGCTGCTTGTTTTTTCGATTGATTGTTTCGGATAGCAACATGGAGTTACAGGTTAGAACCAGCACAAACATTCAGCACATAGGCCATCAATCGAGATCGGTTGCTCGATCTTGGCGTGATGTGACCAACAGGTCTGTTGGCACCTTTCTGCTAATATTACCGCAGCCGATTTGATGTTTGTGTCTGCAAACGAAATGGGCCAACAGCGCTGGGACTTTCTTTTTGGCAGCAATTGGCTAAGGGACAACTCTCCACCCAGGAAAAGCCAACAGGGCAAGGTGGGCGAAGTCCTCTCTCTCTCTCTAGCTGTGCTCCTTTGTTTGCTGCTGTGATCAACAAACAAATTAGATGGAATCAAGCACCAGTCTCGAGACGAAAAAGTAGGGCTGATAGCGATCGCAGAACATGATCTTGAATCTTAAGCTTGGCATGATGATTTCTTTATGCTTCAAAGCCACACATATATGAGATCAAGGTACATGAAAAAGATGCTGACGAGCTTCTCCATGGTTCACAGGTCTCAACACTGTATGACCGACCATAGGCTTCTCTATGGTTTCCTGTCACGGTGTTTCACACCCAATGCTGGCTCAGTTGCAGCTATGATTACAGACCTGACCTTCCTTGCCTAGAGGCTAAACTTGTTCGTTCCTCCAAAGTCGATGGCTACTCGATTCCGGTACAGTCTTCATCATCATAACCTGAAACGGGGGAAGCTTAATGTCATGGCAACATCAATGCATTCTGGCACATGTTCTGCAGCATCTTTTTCCATGTTACTCTCTGGGAAATGACACTACCATGAAGCTCATCTGGTCGGAGAAAAGCATGGCCGAAGGAAGAAAGGCCACGTGTCTTCCAACCAGGTCCTCTAACATACCGGATCATATCTGAAATGACAATAACATGAAGAAGGCTTTCAATCACATCTAACCTCTAGAACAATTTTTTTTTCTTGTTTTCACAGGGTAAGAATGCCTGTTAGCATGTGACCGTCCACTGTATAAAAAAAGATGAGAATGTTCAGAAAGGATTGATTGCAAGGAATGGAACTAAATAATAAAATATGGAGCACAGAGGAGGAGATGTGCCGATATCAGCAAGTACAATGCTGTAGTAAATTTCTTTCACATAACTTTCAAGGAGTAATCTCTTCAGAAACTGCATACCTGCCGATAATGGTCGAGTTATTCTTCAGGTTCAAGTTGATGGGTGGCTCCAAAGAACGATTGTGATGAGGCTGGCAACTGATAGCTAGGAGACATCCGCATAGCCATCCAAAACACAAGTCATCCACTCTCTCTCTCTCTCTGTCTCTTCAGAAACACAAATACAACAAGAATAAAGTAGGCCTATTATCTTGATATTATAAACATAACTCCAACCAAGGCAATAGATGATGGACCTTTGTTTAACTCAACTAGCAGAAGAATGTCACAAGAAATGATGGTTGTCAAGGCACATCCAAATATACAGCTATTTTGTGGAACTAGAGACAATAGTTACACGCAGACGCTTCCTTGCTGCATTGCCATCATGTGCTGCCCTCTTCCTTTTGGTAATTCCATAAACAAGTGATAAGAATTGATATTACAGTAGGCCTGCGGTGGTTCCAAGATCATGAGTCACTTTCAAGCATTGTATCAGTTTTCTTCTGATGAAATAAAAAGGATTTGAAGGTGAATAGAAAGTGACAAAGCACCTGCCACCAAGGGTTTGGTTGTCTTCGAGTTCAGACACCCACTCCTTCCCCTCTCGGTTGAGATAGAAGAAGAACACTGCATCTTGTTGATGGAGAGAAATGAGAAGGTTGCTGCACCCAGTTGTCAGTGCTTAGCATGCATGGCCGTCATACCAAAAACCCACAGGTGACAGGAAAGCTGAAATATGAAATTGGATGCCATTAAGTCTGCAGACCTGTCGTTCTCTGCAAATGAAAGCAGCACAAGTGATGACCACCCTGAACAAGGCTGAGACCCACCGAAGCCTTGCTTCAATCAAGGAGTGATAGGGGTTAGTGGGGACCAGCATGGCAGGACAAACTATTTTAGAGATCGAAAAATTTTTATTTCCTTTTTTTTCATTGTTGAATTAAAACATAATACTCATGTCATAAGCTTTGGTTAACAGCAATTATCATCTTTCTTAAACATATTTAGAAGGACGCTGTCACAAGATCAAATCCTACTTGTACACTTCTTAATTAGGCTTTATTTTCTTGTATTTGAGACATTAATATCTTTGACAATGTGGCAGTACAAGAATTCATGTCACTTCACTTCTTTGAGAAATTCAAGATCCTGAAGTTGCTTATAGAAAATCCTAAACCATGTGGAAGTAAAAGACACAATAAGACTGTATGACTTGTATATCTACAAAACAATTAAGTAAATAGCCCTACAAGCTCAAAGAATATATTCATAGTGATAATGATGGTAGAAGACAAACTTGGAGAAACATTATCTTCATCGTAACCAAAAACAAAACCAAGTTTTACATTCAGATGGAACACAGGATGAAAGATCAAGAGGGGATCACAAGCATAAACAAATCAAATTAACATTCATGACAAGATAATAGCACAAACAAGACTTGTTAGTAGATAAGTTGAACATAATAGAAGCAGAAACTAACAACCTATATGGATAAAAATAAACATCAGGATTACTAAAACAAAACTGATAAGATAATCCGACTCCAGCCACTACCTAGCTCCTCCAGAAAACAACAGATAGTCACTGCTTCTAACAATCCCATCACCATTAGTATGTAAGATGAGATGCTTATGGCTGCCTTTAGTCGTTGTATTCCGTGGCCTACATGGGAATGATTGCATTGTTTTCTAGGAGTTTGGTCCAAGGTTTAGCACAATCTGACATATCCAACAATGTATAATTATTTTCTACATATATGCTGCACACAACACAAATAACCCTAGGATTTTCCAACGGTTATTGGCAATGATGTCTGGGACCATATCGTTTCCTCCCGACCGTTGTCATTTATAACCTAACAAAATTGAAAAAGAGTGTAACTTCTTTTTAAAAGCAGTCGCATTTTTGGCATTTAAATAAAATGGATTCTCATTGTATTTGTTCAGAAGCAGCAGTTCAAATTTCAAGCATCCAAGACCAGCAAGCTACAAACATAATGAAAAATAATGTAACAGCTGCTCTGTTTCTAAAGGCATGTAATTTGCTTCTTCTATAAGTAAGTCAACAATACCTGATAGAAGAAATTCCCTGGTTCTTGCACTGCATAGGCCTAATCAATCCACTTGTAAAATCCTCTAAATTCAAAGACCTAGCATGAAGCAAAAAGCCATCTTGTGAAGATTAAAATTCCATTTTTTAAGAATACCGAAAAAAAAGCCATAAGTTCAATTGCCAGTTTGATGTCTATGGTCCATGGGAAATCAATAATCAATCTAAGGTTTACGGAATCCATAGAACTCAAGCTTCATTTCAGTTTTGTTGCTTGCTTTACTACCTCCTCCATCGATAGATATCTTAAGGAGTCGTCAGTCCAAGCATCAATTTTCTTTTGTTTGATATGTGCACTTTGTTCAAGAAGCCCAAACGTAACAACCACAAGAAAATTCATATTTTGACGCTTGATGCATTCTAAATTATGTTAGGTAAAACGAGTATCACATGCAAAGTTTGTTTGGAAGTATGAGAACATTGTCTTCTACTAAGAAATTGAATTAGCAATTCCCATGTGAATTCTACAGGAGGAGAAACTTAGAACAATTCAAAGAAAGGCGACTGGTTGCTTTGACAAACTTAAGAAGGGGAGAAATTTATCACAGCTTTAAGCATGCTGCAGTCGCAAAATTCCTACTTCCTCAAAGCAGGATTCAAATCGGCGGCAAATAGATCTAACGCAAGCAGCAGCGAGGGCTTCGTTAAATCGGCGCAGCAAGCAGAACATTAGACAAGTCCACCAAGAGATTCCCTACAGATCTAACAGACGAGAGGAAAATGAAGAAGAAGAAGAAGAAGAAGAAGAAGAAGCAGCAGCGCAGCAAGGAACAACGACAACAGGTTCGTTAGGCTACCAAAGGGCTTGGCGACGTCCGAATCGCCGCTATCATCGCCGCCAGGCAGCGCGCACTGCTCTGAACCCGTCGGGCTCAAGTAATCGAGGGAAAATTAGGGTTTCTCATTTGCGTAGCGGTCTTCTCGTTCACGTGATTAGCACGCGAGCTGTAGTCAGGGACTCTGTTCTTGTCAGGTAAACTAAAATAGAATAAGAGGGGTTGAGTAACTCATTATATTTACGCTCTCGGCTTCTGAGATGTGAGGCAGCAACAAAAACACCCCTTTGCCAACAATTCACTGCTTGATGGTTCTGTGGAGATACCACTCCACAAAAGGGAAGGAATGAAGCAAAGAGGCTCCATGTATCACAATATCTGTGGATTAGAGACAAAGTTCCGGTCAATATGAACAGTGATCACCATATGAGAAGACACCACATGCATGAGAGATTGCACAAAGTCGGGAGTGCCATGGAACAAGCTGGGAGTTGAGGCTCACATCTTTCTGTCGATAACAATGCACTCTACAGCAAGCAGATGTTGTCCAATAAACAACGATTTGAACAAGATTACAAACGACCTGGAAGGATTTATCCTAACCATCACCAAGAAGATAAGAGACCATGAAAGACAAAAAACTCGTTCAGACACAATAGGATTTGAGGCCTTAATCAGTGACTCAACAGCTTCTAATCACGGTAACAATACATCATTAGCGACCAGTTCAAACCATAACTAGATCTCACAAAGCAATAGAAAACAAATAAGAGAAGAAAGAAATGCATAACATGAAGACTGATCGACACAGGTAGAGTTGGAGGAACACCATAGCATGAGTTGACGATCGACCAAAATACTGATCCTCGCTCTTGCTTTCTGATGAAGACTCGGGTTTCAATAGCTTTGCCACTACATTGTCTCAGGGGCGAACAAGTTCTCCAAACAAAAAGCTTCTCATAACATGCTATCGGTCCTTGCTGGCAACCTCCTGAAGAAGTTGAGCGGTACTGAGGGAAGCCTGTGCCGGAACCTTGGGTGCCTCAGCACGTAAAAGCCTGTGAGGAGGGCGACAACCTGGAATGGCGTTACATAGAGCACAATGGCAGCAGCAAGGCAAAAGATCAAAAAGAGAGCAGTCGCTCTTGGATCTCGCCAGCTCAACAGGGACTGAAATCTCTCCCCCTGTGTAGCCAGGTCTCCAACCACAGTTTGCACCCTTCCAGCAACGCTCCTTAATCGATCGTACCTCATCCTCACAATTTCAGGTGGTCTCGATGTAGGAAATGTATCGAATTCCTCGTCAAGCTCATCAGGATGGGCAGTGTCTGCATGTGATAGTCGAGTGTCCATGTGAGGAGGCTTCCTTGGCCGCCATCGGTAGTACCATACTCCAATCAGAAACAAGTAGAGGAACATTGTTGGAAGTATCAGTTCCGGATATAGAACCAGTATTACGTAGAGAACATGTATAAGTACGGTCGTTATGGGGTTCTTCCAAAGGCATATCTGGCCAAACCATCTTCCGGTCGCAATCAAACCACTCAAAACATTAATAATTCGAAAGAAATTAGCTTTGCTCCTCCTCATGCTCCACATATGGGAGCCGACATCCAACATATACTCCACAACCTCCTTTCTCAGCGGCGGCTCTGCACGACCCAACCTGGTTGACACTATCTGAGTGGACTGGTGCCTCAAGTAGTCAAGCTGGGTAACAGTCAAAGGATGTAGGTAATGCATCTTTGGCAGCAGTGGCCTAGAATAAGTATGCAGCATATTAAGCAGAGAGGAACAGGAGAATCGAACAGCCAAGTGAACTTCTCCCATCTTCTTAACCCCTGTTGTATGCAAAACCAGAAGGGGGTACGAATGTGTGTAGACTTTATCAGTCTCTAGCGTAGAAAGTCGAATTCGTACCTTGCCAATTCTGTTATCTTTTGCACCATTTGCCTTGTCTCCACCCTGTAAGTGGCAGTTGTCGAACACACCAACTGTGATTACAGTACATGGGTCATATACCTCCCAAGTGTATTGCTCATTCCATTTCGGACTAAAACTGTCAATGATCGTTCTAGTACGAACCCATTTCTGCCCATATTTAGCTACACAATACGCATCAGTAGTTCCACGCCCATCCTTAGTCTTCATCGGGAGCAATCCCTGGGCAGTCAATATACCTAGCTCTAGGATACCAATGCTTGGCTTCCACAGTTGTTTCGCAGTGGGCCTAAGATCACTGCTATAGTGGGTGGACTCATCCAAAACATGGTATCCACCATCCAAACATAACCTTAGATGAATTCGACTAGCAAATTTCACCTCCTTCTTCTGCTCACCATCAGCTGCCACATGCTTCTCCAGGTGATACCACCTTGAATTGATTATCCTACAGTCAAACCTCCGCTCCACCTTCTGCAGATGAATAACAGCCTTCCCCAACACCTCGTCCTTGTTAGGCCCGATTCTCTCTTCTACACTTAGGATCAAATGTTCTTCGAATGGTTCTGCTACAACAAACATCAAATCCTCATTCCACAAAGGGTTCGGGCACCTGCTTGGTGAAATCCTGGTCCTAAGTGTTTGATTGCCAATAGTAGCTTTAACAAAGACTTCTGGGAATCCTGGCTTTGCATTGAGCAGCAAATCTTGGGCTTCGATGATGTTAACTCTCACATACCAAAGCTTGGGAGAGAGGTATACCTTCGATCTGATGTTTGCAAGGCCATCACCGGGAACTGTTGCAGCATCAGAGTGCCACGCATCCGGGAACGCCTCATCCGCCTGTGTACCCATCCAAACAGCTAGCATCAGCTCTCCCTTTACCTTCTCCCCCTTGCGATCTTCCAATCTGTACCACTGTGGTGCCAACGGGCTATCTGGCGGAACTCTTTTCGGAATCTCATTCAGATCAAACAAAACCATTCCCATGAAATCATCCTTCACGAAATCCTTGTCCTTGACCACGACCTCCACCACAGAAGCTTGGATCCGATCTTTTGAGAAAGCAAACACTTGGTTCCATTCAGGATTCGTCTTCTTCTCGAAATGGCGAGTGGTGCCTTTGTAGTTACCAAGTTTTACCTCCACATAGGGATCACAGCTTCCCGTAACATCCTTAGCTGGTAGATCCTTGGCTTTCACAACACGAACATAGAGGTACTGCATCTGCTCAACGAGGTCATACGTGTTGGTGAGCTTATCGCCGCCACCAAGTCCTCCGCCACCAAGGCGGGGGGCTGTCTCCTTCAAGGAGAAGTCCTCCTGAGGCAGCGGGAATGGCCTCTGCATCTTCTAAAACTGATGGCAAAAGAAGCAGCGTTAAATCTTTAGATTTGTACAACTTTGTGTAAACATTTTAGATATTAAGAAAACAGGATTCCAGCCATGAACTCAAATAGATACAGCCGTTTGGCATCTGAAGGTTAAACCACATCAGAATCCAGGAGACCTCCGGGGTATGAGGAAGATCCGAACAGAGGGCATCTACAAAACGTTACAAAAGCAAACTCGAAACCGCGACTTTTGCAGAGGAAAAAACCAGGTGCCTGTCACAATAAAGCATCTACAAACGGAGGCTTATGTACTGCAAGCTCTAAACTTCAGAAGAGGAAAAGCCCTAACTTTTTTAACTCGGAGAAATTTAGTGCATGACGATCAAAATGTGGAGCGACCGATTTCAAATCTTGGATGGTTTTTGTTCCAAACCCAGGCATGAAGACCCCAGAAAACCACAAACTTGTACATGTGAAAAGAAAAACAATCTTCATTACTTGGAACTTGGAAGAAACAGAAACAAGCAAATCCATCACATTATAGGGAAAAATCGATCTTTTTGAGTTCTAAACGAAGAAAGTTGACGAGACCAAGGTGCGAAGCGAAGAAAGAACCATAGGAAAAGCTACAACCTTTAGCAACGTAAAATGCCGTAACCAGCAGGAGTGATCCAACGTACCTGACGGAAAATACAAGGGAGGGGAAGACAGAGGAGGAGGAGGAGGAGGAGGTTGGAGGACCTCAGATGCAACCAGAAGGCGTAGAAGAGACCGACTCGCCGATCCTCCTCATCTCGATGATGTAAATGGAAGGTTCGGCTCCATTACATTTACTGATCACACTCTCTCGCTCACTCCCTCGGTGTCTAATCTCTTTTCAGTGGCTCAGTGGGTGAGACCAAGAAAGAGATCTGAATCCACAAGAGAGGGTGGTGGGAGACACGAAAAAGGAAGGGACAAGCGCAGCAGAGGCTGGCGCACCCCACGACACACCACACCACACTACTGTCTCGGCTTACAGCATTATAATAACCATCATTGTTACTGCCACTGCGTGGCTCTTTAAACAAGACTCATGTTCCTCGGGAGAATGATATTTTACTGGTGCGGTGCAGGGAACCCGAGGCGAACGTGGGCGGAGACCGCGATCGGGCGGTTGTCACGTGCCCCTCCCCGCTGGCGTCTCCAACTCCAGCTGCAAACCACCATTTTCCAGCCTCTTCTCCATTTTGTATCATCTTACGTACATCGCATAGATTATGAGAATATATTAAACTAGTGAACCTAAAAACAGAAAAAGGGAAGCTAAATTATGCTTTTTGAAGAGCTTAAAATACCTACTGTTATGTCACACTGTACGCTTTTCTTTTCAACAGTCCGTTCCCCATCAATTACCAAAGTGAGTAACTCAATTAAGTCTCATCGTTTTGAAGGGCGGTCCATGTGGTCCAACTAAGTAGTAGCACTTTCTCGTGATCATATACAAATGTTGCGTGAGCTACCCATTTTGCAACCCCGCGACGCTTCTTATTACTCCTTTCAAACCGCCTGATGGCGGAAAGTTTCATCAGAAAGAGGGAGAGGTGAGACGTGTCAGGTTGCCAACACGATTGCAGCCTTTTCTCTCCGTCTTGGCACGCACAAAAGCCAGTCCATTAATGCTCCATTGCTAGGTTCGTAGGTTTTTCTACCCTTTTAATTCTCTCTCTCTCTCTCTCTTTTATTTCTCCCCCTTTTTGTCGAGGGTTATCATAACCAGGCCGCAGCGGGCCGTGGGGCCATCTGCAGTGTCTTTTTGTTGTCCCCCAGTTGTCCTTTTCACCCTTCTTTTGCTACCTTTTGTTTTGCCTTTTGGCCATCGTCTCCCTTTACTTCTTCTCTCCAACTTTAATTTCCCTTGTGAACACTGTGCATCATCATAGATGCATCACGAGGGTTACATGCCTTCGTAGTCATCTGCACCGTAAAACATTAGACCGGTCATCCACAGGGGCACGCCTCAGCTGTGGAACACACCATTCTTCTCTCACAGCATGGAGACGAGAGGTCAGGCCACAGCAGCTTCCCTTTAAGATAGCCATTGACTGGGTGCTGAACCATGTAAGCCCACCCAGTGCATTGTTGAGCTACTCATTGGATTCAAAACTGGCCAGTGAAACACCATAGCTCTCTTGTAATGTCAAGTGTGCACTCTCTCACCAGACCAGAAGATACACCGACCTTCTCTTACCTTTTGGTCAATCACAGCCAAATATTGGAAATAATTGTCCATTCGATGTCCATCGGTCATCGTCAACTCTCTGTCTCGACCCTGCTTTGCTCAGACAGTAACTTGCCATTTTCTGCACTCTTCCACATGCCTCTATTTGTAGCTGATGATCAAAGCTTAGGCCTACCACACATCACCAACATACCAAATTAATTTCCACCCAACCTTTCTCAAAACCTCCAAAATCTAAAAACCTAAACGGCAACTTGGACTGAATAATTGCAGCTGTATCTAAGAGAGTAATTGCATGGCAAGAGAGCTATAGTGAGTACAGTGTGGCTTCTGACCTGAGGCAATAATTTCTGGAAGCCGGTCAACAAGGATGGGACATCTGCGAAGAGGCTCTCTGCAACATAACTCATTGATGATGAGGCTGCGAAATAATTCAGAAAACATAAGTAAATCCAGGTTTGCTAAACCAATTGCTAGCCAGAAGGGTGTCAATATTGTCACTGGGATGAGCATCATGCTAAGAGTCCGGCAATAGCACCATTCTCCGATTGATATTTAAGGTCTACTCGCCACCAATGGCTGGGATTTTTCAACATATGCTCTGAGAAGTACCATATTGCTGTGTGTATCACCTGCACACTAGGGACAGAAATTGAGTCTCTTGGTTACAAAAAAAGGGGTCAGATCGGGTAAATTTAAACAAAGTTCTATGATCTCAAAGTAATTTTCCTTGTAGAATCTGACATGACTAAATAATATATAAAAAAGCAACTGTTGTTACACTATGTCGTTTTATAGGCAATCATAGATTCACAAAACTAAAGCTTTCATTAGACAAGACAACCAAACAGTCATAAGGCCATCATACTTTGGTTTTCCCAAATTTTCCTAGAAACTAAGGTAAAGGATCTAGGCAGGCATGAAGAAGCAACATTGCATCCACAAAAAGAGTTGAAGAGAAACAAATGAATTCAATCCTTCATCCATCATGCAAATGGAACAATATGAGGGTCATAAAGCAATCTATAATGAGAAATGCAATGTTTCAACAACGCGCAGCACTGTCAATCAGAGAAGTTTGGTATACAGAGAAATAAAAAAGTCCTCTAAATAGGATGAAGAACTAAAAGTGGAAACACGTTGCGAATTTATCCAGACATTTCAAGTTCCAAGGCAGTGAAGAACAAAAGGATGAAGATAACGAAGGCATTATCATGCAGTTGATCTTGAATCAATACGATTGTAATCATAACTGATACTTTAGTTTAGAACAACTATTAATGATTATCCATCAGCCACAAGGACCACAGTTCTCGTTTATCTCCTCGATCCAATGTGTATCTTCCAAAGAAATGCACGAGTAACTTGATTTTACCCAAGAATATGCCATAGCATAGGCTACACTGCATGAAACCTTGATTCTACACATTAAACTGCACATTCAAATACTTCAGCTCAGGGGAAGAATGATGAGACCCATACGACCTTAGAGACCACCATGACATTCTTCCCCTTCCAATCTGGAACTGTGAGCATGAGTAACAATGCAAACATGCTGTTACATTGAAGTGCCAAATGGTACCATGCATGCAACCATCTAAATTTTCATGCAAGGAAAAGAAGGCACAAGTTAGCATCACCTCGTTCAGAAAAACAAAAAAGAAAAGGAATCGGAATGATATCATAGAAACTATAAAAACAACATGCTGGAATGAAAAAGGCAATTGATTTAAACTTTTCCATAATAGAAGCTAAATTTATGAAGTGCTGAAAGGAACATTGATGACGCATTTCTTTAACTAGCATACTTTAGTCATTAGCATTATTATCTGCCACAGATCGGATCAATATCTATTACAGAATAGAAATGAGTTTATTTCCTATCAGTATATGTAACTTACAAATCATGTAGAAACAAATTAAAGTAATATCTCCACGGAGAGATTATTAACAAAGATTGCCATTAATTAAAGGAGTCCACGTTCAAAAATGCTTTTTTTTCCATCCAGTGGGTTTATCTCTTCCCGTGGTTTGCCCTAAACTAAAGCAGATCAAGAAATTTGAACCTCAATTAAAAGTCAGAGTATCGGAAAGATGATAAAGAAACCAAATGTAACAATCAGAACGCATCACCTCACAGTTCCAAACCCATTATCACGTAGATGTGGGAAATAATACCACTTCAAAACAAAACAATAAAAGAATAATCTTGACGGCATTGGGCACCGTCCACATAAACATACCAGATCGAACAACAGAGAAAATAATTAGTCGACGTTAAAAAAACCAATCTGCTGATTTAGAGAAAAAGGAGATCAGAAGGGTTTCGCGCCAAGAGAGGACTGTTCTCAATCGGAAGGAAGAGAAAAGGGTCTCCGTCTCTTAATCCTTTCAAATAACGAGAACTGGAACACATCTAATACGAGAGGGAAGAAGTTGCTACTGCTACTAATATACACGTACCAGCGCACCGGCTGCGATTGGTTGGGGGGTCTTTGTCGGCCAAGAAGACGAGCAGGTTTGGCTGATCCGGTGCAAGCGGGGAGCTCTCAGCCGATTCCGAGTTGAGGGATCCCCCGAAACCGGAGACGACAGCGTCCACGGTCTTGAAGGTCATCCTTCCCCCCCTTTTTTCCTTCTCGATTCTGGGTCTCTCGTCTAGACCGCTGAACCATGGGATCGACGACAAAAAGAAACTAGACGATATGAATATCAATCAAGCAAAGAAGGCACGAGAACGAGAGAGAGAGAGAGAGAGAGAGCTCCATAAAAAAGACTTTAAGATTGGCGAAGAAGAAACAAGATGATCAGACAGCGGGTGATTGCCACAGTTAATGACGCGTCGTCGCCACTGAGATCACCACCAGGGAAGGTGTAACTAAATATATCAGCTTTTTACATGTATCCAAAAGTTAATGTGAAGCCTCATAAGAGGATCGAAACAAGAGGAGGAATTACTGTGTCATATGGATTATATGCAGCAGACAGTACGTGTGAGCTAACAATTCTTACCCTCGAGTCTCCTTCACTGTGGTCGAAACTTAGCAAAGACCAAAGACACGGCATGTTGCACCTTCCCATCACTAGGTTGTTGCTACGCATGACGAGTCTGATAATTACTCAACAGCTTGCTGTGTAGATGTGCTACTCTCAAATTTATTCCACGATTTAGTTTAGCAGTGAAACGAGAAATCATCTCCACTGCTCAGCAACAAACACCAGAAAATTTATCTCAAGGAAGTCCACCATAGTCATCAACCAAAACAACACCAGGACTGGCTTATTTCGCAGTTTCCTCCACTTTGGTTTCACAGACAAAGCGTAGGTACTGAGAACAGCAGCAAGGTAATATTCCTTCGGATAGAACAAATTAAAATTAGTTCAGAACACAAACTAGATGGCAGGAGCCCCATTTCGATGGTTGCGGTGGTCGCCAGATGCTGAACACCTTTTACGAGAAATTAGCTATCAGCAGGTCTTTTCTCGATAGTAACCGGGGCGTACACCTTCCCGTTATCAATTCTTGTCGTGCGCCCTCCAATGTCCAGAACAGCAGAAGTAAATGCAAGAGCTGATCCCCCAGTGAGAGCTGCTTGAATGTTCCTGCCTGAACATCAGATGAAATACACATCAGGTAAACTGGGTTATCTCAAGCAAAAATGATGATAAAGCATGGATATTACACATCAGAAAAAGACTCGTATTATGACTTTTCTCCAGGATGGTCCCAAGAAACAGATACCATAGATTCAGTAAACTTTTATCTCCTTTCGGGGCAAGGACACATTATGGTGATGGTAACAAGTGCAAGTCAAAAGAACAAACTAGAGGAAATTATGTGTAGATATCTTTGCAAATCACCAAGCAACAATCAGATAGCATCTTGACATTACACTCCTACTCACAAAACAGTTATTAATACTAATGCAAAATTCATAAACTACAGCCTGAAAATCTGTTTACATTATTAAATAGCTTTAGCGTGGAAATATTATGATGACAACAACAAGTTTACAATATCCAGACTATTTGGGTCAGCTATATGGACCTTTTACTCTATAATATTTTAAATCATAGCATAACTCCTAAGTGAAAAAAATTCTTTATGATTTCTTCAACAGATACAGTTCATAACACACAAGTTCAAGAAACAATTTTGTGGTCAACTGCCATAACATTCTGGATCAAATAGTTTTTTATTAAAGTCACTAGAAAAGATACAGAAACAAATGCATGTTAAATATATCTCCAATTAAAACCATCTATAACCAAAAGATGCAGACCTGAGCACAAGTTTGACAACTAAAGCAAAATACTTCTACAATCAAAAACCATTAAGCTAGCAAGATGGATAAGCATTGGAGGATCATTATAAGTGATAAATAGTAGGCTAGCTATAACAACTATTTCGGTGGAAAGTGAGCACTAACCAAACAACAGCATGCTGTTTTAATCAAACATGCCACGATATGAATGAAATTCTTCATACTGGTCCTCTAGCAACAAAAGAAGCTAGTCAGCTTGAAAAATCAGATAACCTATAGAAGCTGCATCAATAGATATATATCATATGGTCCTGTACTGAGGTTTTATTTTCAGCTGACACCAATTTATTTAGTCAATCAGGAGGTAAAGTACCTTTGAAGTTTCAATAAACTTTGACTAGTTATGGTCCAGAGTCAAGTCTAAGTTTAGAACTTTGGCCAAAGTTTTGTGTTCCAAGTGAACGAACTAATTAAGGTTAATGTGTCCGTTGGCTTTACTTTTGATGTTTTCTTGATCAGTTATCTCGGCTGGCAAGAGATTAACTCACTATCAAATATTTTTAGAATTGTCAAGACCATGCAAAACAAAACAAGTGATCAGTAGCCATGTTTTGGATACAAATTTCTTTAAAAAACACTAGTATATTATAACATGATACTTCACTTGGCATATACATTATTGATATATAAGTATATCTGTATATGTACCTCCATATAGAAGAGCATCTATTTCTACATTACATAACCAGATCTTTATTTTCAAGGTATTAAATCTTAATTTAGCAAAAACAAAATTCAGTGCAGATTTTTCACCTGAGTGAGATCTAACTAGTTTAGTTTGTTCATTTTTTAGTCTTCCTGAATCTCAGCTGGAACTACTGTAATTCATCCTAAAAAGGTCACAATTGAAATTCCACAGCTTACATAAATTTGAAACTGATACTTGAAACCATGGTTTGTATTACGCACAAAGCATGTGATATTTTATGTCTCGGGTGGTGCAAGATAGTTCAAACAAAACAACTTAAAAATGTACTCAACGAAAAGGTCATTAAAGAACCTAGTATCAATCCATATATACGGTCTATCAAAATTCAAGTAGGAAAGCATTTCGACAGTTAGCTTAATGGATTCATGGGTGATCAATTGCATAACGTGATAAAATGCTCCAGCACCATGTTAAATAACCTCAAGATTGACGACTAGAGCACTCACTTTTGCAGCCAAGCTTAAGAACAACCAAGGTTTCCAAGCAAAGCAACACATTAACACAAATGTCAGAAAAATATGTTCTTCAGGTAGACAACAGATATGCCAACCAAGGTTCAATAACAAGAAATTTCCGAGACCATATTTCCCAGAGAAAATCAAGATGCAGTGTGTGTTACGGATACTATCCACTAACAGAACCATTGTGGAAAATTAAAATTTTCAGTAATGTCATAACAAGAGCCACTCAGACCACAGATATATGAAGGAAGACGGCGAGCTTACGTTCTACATTCTAGTGCTAGATGAAAATAGAGAAAAATGGTACCTCTAAAACCATAAACAGTTGCTCCAGCAACAAATGCGCCCACAGCACCATTTATGAAATCCCTCTTCATCCTTTGCTTTTGCACCAACTGCTCCACACCGATGTACAGTCCACCGACGGCAGCAAAGGTGAGCCCATAGTTCCCGCACAGCTTCAATGTTCTTATCAACCCCGGAAGAGCAACGTTCCTCTCGACACGAGGCACATCATGCCAAGTAGCAACAATGGTGCCCCAAATGGTCCCTGCCACTAATCCCGTCGTCGCAGCCTTAAACGTCTTCATGGCTGGAGAATCCTCGTCCTCCAGATATCCCATGTCCAATTGATCCATCCTTCTCTTCCACTCGATGAAATGGAACCCTAAAACCCATGATCAAACAATAGATCCAAATAATCATACAAATAAAGAAGGGAGACGAGGAGCCACAGCCCAGAAAAACCAAGATCGCAAATCAAGATTCTTTCTTGAACTAAAATTTGATCGCAGTACCCACGGTATAACGAGAAACCACACCAAGATCCAAGAGATGCAAGGGGATGATCGGAAAATGGTACCGATCAAATCGACAAAAGAACGGTGCCCTAAAAGATTCCGAAAATTGAATTGGGCGATTGCTCTATGAGATCAGATACAACCACAATTACGAGAGAGTTATTAAGATCAGGATTGCGACAATTGAAATTTCCTAAGCAACAATTGCGGAATGATTGGGGAAGGTTACCTTGGCTTGCGGCTCTTCTGGACCTTTGCGCGAGGGTGAGTTCTCGCAAACCGCAGGCGGACCTATAGAGTATGCGTGGTAAGATAGTGAAATTACCAGAGCGCCCTCGTCCTTCCGAATCACGATCAGATGGCGATCGGTCTCTGAAGATATCGTGGCCGTTTGATCGAAAAGAACGGCTACCTGCTTTTTTTATCTTTTATTTTTGTAATTTGGGTCATTTCCTCTTTTTCTATCAATTATAAACAGCACAAATATAATTTGGTTAACGCAAAATGTTGCAAAGTTATCAGAGATCTCGTGATCATGTTTGCAAATTCAACGATATCGTTTTATCCAAATTAATATCATTGAGCTCCCTATACTTAAGTCAGAAGATATTCATTAAGAAATCGAAACTTTGAGTTTTATGAATGAAAAAATTAGAAAAAATTAATTTGTATTTGTTGGTGTTTTAATGATTTTTTTATAATACAAGTAAATAATAATATCAATAGAAAAAGATCGATCCATTCTCTATTATTTGATGATATGAGCATGACTTAATATAATCGTAATAATTTAATAAGATTATAATCGGAGAAAGATAATTAACTTATTTTTTAGCTCATCTACTAGGCTGATAGAAGTTTATTCATAACAAAGAAAGTCGAAATATAAAAACGATATCCATTATGGACTCGATTTTTGTAGTGCTTCTTAACTCATATTTCGTTTGAAACTGGGGTTAATATTCATGTATTGAGTGTTATTTTATGGCATGTCAAAATTTTTTAAGATTTATTTATCTGCATGTGTTACTATAGTTTGTTTTAAGTCAAGCTATCACATATCTTAGATCGGAGAAGGCAACATCGAAAGAATATCTCGTGCATAAGTGTATAAGGAAGTAGTTATTGTATTAAAAAAAAAGATGAACACTTGAAATTGCTTTTGCGGTGATTGGTTCACAATCATCATAAATTAAGGATGTAACGTAAAAGATATCCTCACGTTTGGTGGAAGTCAGTATGGTTTCCATCATGCCACGTAGTTTGTGCCAACAAGTCTGGAGAAACAGTAGCATGCTTGAGGTGGAGACTTTGAGTTTTCGATATATCTTTACGTAACCTCGCATGGAATTGATATATATATATATATATATATATATATATATATATATATATATATATATATATATATATCCGTTTAAGGAAATAGTAACGCGCTCGAAATGGATCATCACATCTACGACGAGTCAAACACCAAGGCTGAAGGCTGAAGGCTTTTACACGTGGAATTTGCTTTGTTAGTGAACCGTACGGAGTCCCAACCCAAAAATAACACTCAGTAGTCTTACACGTTATGATGATTGATCGTTGAAATCACTGGAGCTTCGATAAGACGTGGCACGACAACTCAGCAGTCTCAATAAGTTTGAGAACACGTGACATATGTTGATGGAGGATTTGGACTCCTACCGCCATTTTCGTTTTCCTGTGTTGATGGAGGATTTGGACTTCACGTTTAGGAATAGCAATGGGAACCGAAATCTATCGGTGTCGGTCTGCTTGAAGCCAAATTGTCAACCGTTTACGTGGTTTTTGGGGCAACCATACCAACTATCCAATCTCTATTTGAATTTTCTGTCATTAAATTCCTCTGCATGATTAGGTTTTTTTACTATAATATTATTGTTGAGCCACATTACATAGTTGAACAAACCTGACTTTTTTTTTTTCTTTTTTTCCGAAGATCCACATTAGAAATGATGGGATAAGATGATGATGTTAGGCTGAAAATAAGTTTGAGTGAATATGTAAGTATGAAATGTTTTGAGCATTCGATAAATAATAGAAATATATATGTAAGTATTATTTGATAAAATTATATTTTAAAAATATATTAAATATAATATGATAAATTTATCCTTCTAATAAATAAATATAATCTTATAAAAAAAATTTGTATGGACAAGATATATAATAAATATAAATTAAAATAATATAAATGAATATAAATAATTTTAAAAATAAATAAATAAAATTCTACAAAGACATGAATTTTATTTGTTTCTTACTAAATTTGACAAACTTATAATTTTAGATAATAAATATAACATCGAAGCAAGTTTGATTTTTAAAAAAATACTAAATATCAATTCATATTTAAAATATATATTAGACGTCGATACACCTTTGAAATGTATTCTCACCGGACAAACCCTCGACACATGTTTCAAATATATTTGCATTTTAAATGTGTTCCCCAACCTTACTTTCGTACGAAATCCCTGTTTGACTTCGGACACGCACATATGTCGTATGGGTTAAGCTAAGCCCACTGTTCCACCACGCAAGTTCGTCTTTATATACACCGTAAGCCAATCGTCTTCGACGCAGTTGCGAAACCTTCACCGCCCTCTCTTATCTTTAGAATATGCTGACGCCTCAACTCAATCGCCATGCTTCCTCCCTCCTCTTCTGCCATGGCGGCTCCCTTCCTTCCGGCCGTGGAGTACCCCACGGACCGGCGGTGATGGTGAGGTCGAAGAAGACCTCGAAGAGGAGCGGCGTGCGCAGTATACGCTGCGCGTTGAAGGAATTCCGGTCCTCTCAAGCGGAGACGGATGCCGTCTTGGCCATCAAAGCGGTCGCCACCGTCAAGGTGACGGTGGGCGGCTTACTGAGTAACCTTGGACTGCCGCGCGGGATCGACGACGTCAAGGATTTGCTCGGCAAAACGCTCTTGCTCGAGCTCGTCAGCACCGAGCTGGATCCAAGTAAGCTTTCGTAGCCACATTTGTATGCATTATCCGCCCATGAAACATCCATTATCATCACATGCATCTCTTTTCTCTCCCTTTCTTCTTCCCTATTCCGCATCGATAGATAGAAACATTAAACCATGAGGAGTCCTTCTCTTTGATCACATATCTTTAAACTTGATTATTTTGCATGATGAATTGGAGTCGTTCTAGTTGGGCTTGGCTTGCCAAATGATCTGAGAAACCACGTGAAAATATGATAGAAATAGTTACTCCATTGATCTTCCTTGCCTTTGTTGATTTTATTATTATTTTTTGATTATTTTAGGAACTTTCAAGTCTAATTTGATAGAAGAATAGGTTCGGTTCATCTAAATTGTCGATCCAGTGATTCTTTTATTTTTTGTACTGAAAAGAGGAAGATCCCACCATATTTCATTTGTGAAATACAAATAGAAAACATGACCCCCAAACTTGGGAATCTTCTTCCTGAAGATGCATTCTCCGAGGCCAAATTCCAAGTTTCTCATTCAACATGGTGCCACAAAGATAAACCATCGCAAGAACAATGAACTGCAATTCCCTACCATCGACGTACAAATCAACCTACACTGATTTGGGCAGAGTGACGCTAACCAAAAGACGTCGTATAGTCCAAGAAAAGTCTACGGACGAATAAGACACGTATGGAAGACGTACGTTGCACCATTCCCTGCTATTGTAGTGAGCCAAACGTAAGGCTATTAGAGCTCTGGTGGCTAGAGAATATCTTCATCCAAGTGGGAAGAGAAGACGAGCAAAACCACAATACCTTACCAAGCATTAATTCTGTGCATGCATGAGTCCGGTGGTCCATATTTTGACTTAATTCACTCGTTGTTTGACTATGTGAAAGAGACTGGACGGGAAAAGGAGACCGTCAAGGCTTATGCTAAAAAGGCTAAGCAACATGGGGATGAGATCGAGTACGAGGCTTCCTTCAAAGTTCCAAAGGATTTTGGCGACATTGGAGGGGTTTTTGTAGTGAACGAGCACCGCAAGGAGATGTTTCTGGAGGAAATCAAGCTCGACGCCAGCGATCATACTGCTACTGCTACTACGCTCACTATAACATGCAAATCATGGGTACACTCCAAGTCAGACAACACGGACAAGAGATTGTTCTTCGTCAACAAGGTATATATGTGTGTGTCTGTGTGTGCGCGCACATATTTGAATCGCATAGACGACTGATCCTAAATGTGCTTCCTGTGCTTGGAATCAGTCATACCTGCCTGCCCAAACACCAGCTGGGCTTCGCAGATTGAGGGAAGAAGAGCTTGAAGTCATCAGAGGAGACGGTCAGGGAGAGCGAAAGGCGTTCGAGAGGATCTACGACTACGATCTGTATAATGATCTAGGTGATCCAGATCATGATGTGAGCAAAACCAGACCAGTTCTTGGTGGTAGCAAGGAGTTCCCGTATCCGAGGCGCTGTAGGACAGGCCGCCCGAGATCAAAGAAAGGTATTCAGATATGTTGACATGAAAGGAAGTACAGTAGAGTGACGGTGCTTTGTAGTACGTACGTTGAGTATAATTTGTGGCATGCAAACAGATCCAGAATCGGAAACAAGGAGCGGCTTCGTGTACGTTCCAAGAGACGAGGCTTTCTCTGAGGTCAAATCAGCGACCTTCTCGTCCAGGACATTGCGATCGGCGCTTCGTGCGGCTATTCCCTCCATCCAGACCGCTGTCATCGATGCCAAGCTCGGATTCCCGCACTTCAATGCCATTGACTCATTGTTCGGCGATGGCTTGACACTGCCAAAGCGACAAGGAGTGGGTTTCTTCCAAGGCTTGCTTCCTCGTTTGGTAAATGCCATTACCGGTGGAACTCAGGAACTGCTGCTGTTCGATTCACCTGAAATGATCGAGAGTAACCTCCTGTTATCTTCGACTGCTATCTTTCGCGCATTGGCGTTTGCTGAAGGTCGCTCCGTTGTGTATCCATCGCAGGGGACAAGTTCTCATGGCTTAGGGACGAAGAGTTTGCTCGCCAAACGTTGGCCGGAGTGAACCCTTATGCCATTGAGCTGATCAAGGTGACGACCAGTTCTTGCTATCGTGTCATCTTTGTGAATCATGATCTAACATCTCCACCATCGGGCAGGAATTTCCTCTGGTAAGCAAACTCGACCCTGAGGTCTATGGACCTCCTGAGTCAGCAATAACGGAGGAGATGATCGAGGAAGAGATAAACGGAGTCATGACAGTGCATGAGGTATTGACTAAATATCAAAGGGCGACATTAGGTGTTTAAAGGAACCTCATAGGTCTGCTTAATTTCGTCAGGCAATCGAGAATAAGAGGCTGTTCATGTTAGATTACCATGATCTGTTGTTGCCGTACGTGCACAAGGTGCGGGAGCTAGAAGGCACCACGTTGTATGGGTCTCGCACCATCTTCTTCCTCACCAACGATGGCACTCTGAGGCCGCTTGCGATCGAGCTTACTATACCAGCATCTGCGACGGGGCCCCAATGGAAGCAGGTGTTCCGTCCTCGTCGGGACGCAACCGGGGCTTGGCTATGGAGGCATGCAAAGTCGCATGTGCGTGCTCACGATTCGTGCCACCACGAGCTCATCAGCCATTGGTATGGTTCATCATCTTTCTCCTTCTTTTAGCATTGTCGATTACTGTTCTTGCGGCACCGATCTGAACTGTGACTTGACTCGCAGGCTAAGAACACATTGTTGCGTCGAGCCCTACAGCATCGCGGCGCATCGGCAGCTCAGCGAGATGCACCCGATCTACCGGTTGCTGCACCCCCATTTCCGCTACACCATGGAGATCAATGCGCTTGCAAGGCAGGCCCTCATAAACGGCGGGGGGATCATCGAGATATCGTTCTCCCCGCTCAAGTACTCCATGGAGATCAGCTCCGTCGCCTACGACCAGCTTTGGCGCTTCGACATGGAAGCCCTGCCCGCCGACTTGATCCGAAGGTACTAACCACTACAACAGGCGGATTACTGGAAGTCATCCTTAGCAACCGATGGATTAAACTGGTCGTTCATTTCAGGGGAATGGCTGTTGAGGACCCCACAGCCGAGCACGGCCTGCGGCTGACCGTCGACGACTACCCATTCGCGAACGACGGCCTTCTGATCTGGTCTGCCATCAAGCAGTGGGTTGAGGACTACGTCTCACACTACTACCCAGATCCGAGCCACATCACCGACGACTATGAGCTCCAGAGGTGGTGGGACGAGGTCCGGACCGAGGGACACGGCGACAAGAAGGACGAGCCATGGTGGCCGAAACTTAACACGTTAGAGAGCCTCATCCACACCCTGACCACCATCATATGGGTAGCGTCGGCGCACCACGCCGCCGTGAACTTTGGGCAGTACGGATTCGGAGGCTACTTTCCGAATCGCCCATCTATCGCGCGCACCAACATGCCCACGGAGGATGCGCAGAAGGAGAATTTTGTCAGGTTCTTGAGGAAGCCGGAGGTATCACTTCTTGAATGCCTGCCCAGCCAGATCCAAGCGACGGTGGTGATGGCGGTGCTGGATGTGCTGTCGAGCCATTCGGTGGACGAGGAGTACCTGGGTAGCGAGCTGGAGGCGGCGTGGGTGAAAGATCCGGTAATCCAACGAGCCTATGAGAGATTCAATGGAAGGATAAGGGAGATCGAGGGGATCATCGATTCACGGAATTCTGATCCTAAACTGAAGAACAGAGTCGGAGCGGGCGTCGTCCCTTACGAGCTCATGAAGCCGTTCTCTAAGCCTGGAATTACAGGGATGGGGATTCCTAACAGTGTCTCTATCTAACAATCATATATACTGGTAGATTAACTATCATCACATTTTTTACCTTCGAATATTTCTATTTATTGATTGATTGGAATCGCCTGTAGCATCTTTTACAATGCAGCAATACACGCCATCATAGAAAGAATCGAATTTATCATCCATAAATGAGTTATGACATCGAAAACTCTAAGAAAGAATTCCATTCCTCGGTTGTGTTCCGTGCATCAAAATGACTTCTGATTACATGATGCAGAGGCTCGCTTCCGTGTATCTGTAGCCGCTCAGCCAAAACTTTGGCCAGTAGACGCTGAAGGTTGATGCTTCGGCAGATTGGAATCGGTCGAGAATAAGCAATCGGCAGTAGTGTGTCCTTATAGCGCTGCACTCGTGCTTGTTCCATTGCACATGCACTCGGGAACAGGGTAGGCCGTGACATCCTTGCCAACCTTGTCGGTCCTCCACTCCGGCTGGCCTAGCGATCCTCGGTGCAGGTCCTTGATGATCCGATTGAATTCCGAGTCCGGCAAAGAAGCGTCGACGAAATATGGGAGCATCTGCCGCTTGTTGGGGGTGATGAACTTTCTGTGCCCGGCATACGCCCTGTGCCCCTGCATCAAGTGCCCCATGTTTCCTCCGTGTGACGGCATGAACACGTCGCTCTGCTCGCACACGATGTAGTCGATCGCCGCAAGCACCGAAGATTTGCTCGCAAATCGCTCGAGTTCGCCGGGCTGTGAGATGTTCTCCTTGTTGTACAAATGCGGGAACTCTGTGATCAATGGCAGCAGGGCCTCCGGCCCTCCGAATGGCTCGCCGCCTGCCCAGTATATCCTTGCATCCTTGGGAGCTCCGAGTGCCTTGATCAATCTGAATCGAAGAATTGTCGTCAGTAACTCGAAAACAAGTAATAGAATCAAAGATTTGCTTCCTGGTTCTTCCTATACCTGGTTACTTCAAGAGCATTCAGTGGGCAGAACCCGGCGAGTTTGCGCTGGTGGTGAGTCATGTTGGACCTCCCAGTGAGGAGCTTCGGCCGGAGCTTTCTCTCTCGCTGGACAGCATCATCGTGCTCGGGGCTTAGCCCAGGAAGGCAACCGGTACGCACCCACACATCCTTCTCCAGTCGAAGGTGCAGCGCGAGGTAAGGCCCTTTGCTCCGCATCCTCATGGCGAGCTTGTTGCCAAGCTCCTGGATGGGCGCAGCAAACCTCAGGGCATGGAATGCCACCTTGTGGGACACGAGGGAAGTATATGCATCAGTACTATGTCAGGGAGACTTGTGGCGAATGTGCAAGGATGGAAGGGTTGGATCTTGTGATTACTTACTTTGCATCGGAGCTTTTGCAGATCAGGTGGGAGGTCCTTTGATAGCCGTGAATCTAAGCCTCTGAGAAGCAAAACCCCCTCTCGATTAAGCTGCAGAAAGAACAAGACGAGAGGTTGTATTCAGTACTCCCTCACCGTCGAAGGGTAAGTGATAATTCAATTCATCCGTCACAAACCGACGAGCTAATAATGAAGTATGGAATAATGAACTAATATCACTGTTCATCACTGCTTTTTGGCGATCATTCATCGGTGGTTGGAGGAGTTGTGGCTACAAACACCTAACATGTTTTAGTAAACAATGGAATAATGCAGTTCGGGAAGATGGATTCAGACAAGAAGTATATGTTAGTGAACAAGTGGATCACAGCTAATATCCCATTGCATCCAACCAGAGAGCAATGAGACCGGAAGAAGAAGAAGAAGAAGAAGAAGAAGAAGAAGAAGAATCACTTACTCTCTTCAGGTACCTGTTCTTGATCCATTGAGGGGAGACGTGTAGAGGTGTCTGCTTCTCCTCCACCGGCCTTGTTCTGATATGAGTCGACGGCAGCGACGACACCACCTTGACGTCGTCGGCGAGAACCCGCTTGAAATGCTCCAGATCAAATATGTCAGAGAACTCACTGCCCGATCAAAGAACAGAGCAAAAATTAAGATGCCTCATAAAACCGAGTCCTCATATGAGGTGCAGATATAGATCATGTTCATAGTACATTTACTAGTAATGTTTCGATGAATGAGCTTAAGATAGCCAAACATAGATGCCTCTTTGGGAAAAAGATATATTTGTAGCGAGAGAAGACGATAGAGGCAAAGATGAGCTTTTGATCTTAGATTAGGAGAAGTAGAGATATGAACAGGCAGAATGGCACCTGTCGTCGCCCCAGATGAGATTGACCTGCAGAACGGGCACGACGAGCGCCGCCCCGAGGATGCGAGCGATCACAACCGCATCGACAATCTGGTTCCGCTGCTGGTTTAGCCCACCGGAGACCACCACCAGCAGGTACTTCCGCCGCCTGCCTCCCCGCGCCGCCCCGGTCTCTACCCGGTACTGCTCGCTGAAATCAAGGCACGGCCTGTAGCCCATCCCGTCCGGCTGCCTCCAGAACTCCCCCTCCACCGCTCCCGCACCAACACCGACACCACCTCCTCCCGCTTCCACCGCCACTTCTAACACCGACCGTACGGGTTCCGGCGAGGAAGAGGAGGAGCAGGGTACGGGAGACAAGGGGAGGAGACGGTCCAGCTCGGACCCTATCCTGAGGGTTCGGAACAGCGCGAGGAGGAAGAAGAGAGACACAAGGAGGAACTTTGGGCTACGGGCGAGGGAGGGGAATCGGTGGCCTGCCTGCCGCGGGGCCTTCCTGGGGGACAGGTGGAGCGTGTGGAACGCGGAGGCGGAGAGCGAGTGGATGAGCTGCAACGGCACCGCAATGTCGGAGAGATGCTTCGTCTTCGCCCTCGCCATTAGACCACAAACAGAGGGAGACGGAGCACAAGGAAGAAGAAGAGGAAGAAGAAGAGACGTGGGAGTAATCCAGTGATATCACGATCAAGCGGGCGTAGGGAAGGTGGTCGGAACTGGAAACTCGTTCCCTATTGAATGACGAAAACACCCTCACCCAAGAGGGGTATTTAGAGTTATAGGACCCCGAGAACGAGACGTGGCGGGACAACAAGTCGACAGCTGGAGCGCATCAAAGTGCGAGGTCCGAAGCTACGTCGACCAATCCCACCTCTCGCGAAGAATCGGACGGTGGATCGAGCCGTGATGGGGCTCAAAGCGGTGGTTTACTGCTACGCGTTGGACCACTTGTGGCGAGCCCTCATTAATGCATCGAAGTGATAAAGGACTTTTATGTGGATGTGACACCAAAATTGAAGTGATTAATGTATCCTATGACGAGCAATGGTACCATTCCAGACTTTTGAGGGGGGAAAAGATGGGATCAATCATGACTTTTACATGTCGGAAGATTAAAGGTGAGACCATTCGTCCCATAGCAACTCCGAGAAATGAGATCCCACGTTACACGTGGATCATCAAATGTGGATCGAAATTTACAGTGGTCATTATTTCCAGAAGAAAATGACAGTAAAAGCAGTCAAACCTCTAGAAAACGTGGAAGAGTAAGCTAACACCACCGTTGATTGGGGACTTTGGAGAAGACGAGAGACCAAACATACCGCTCCATGGGGTCTAAGCGATAGGGATGGGATGGGATGGCTCAGTCATCATCGGAGGACGAACGTATCGATTAGTGAATGGAGAGCGGTGAGTTGGGTGCATGGTTGGTGGTAATGTGTCGGTTCTTTGCGGCTCTCGACTCGGAACATCGATGTTTCGGTGCATTCATGTGTTGCATGCATCTCTCACGGGCTGTCAATGGTCTGGAAACAGTATGAACGGCTGCAACTTTGCCACCAACACGTCCGTGATTGTTGGATGTTAGATGTGTCTATTCCCTTTTTGCTTACCGCTACCATTTTCATTTATATTTTTCATATTTTTTTTATTTAATTTCATATCGATTGAAGAGTAAAAAATTTTGAAAGGATAAAATCGTACGAGACTCATCCGAATAATTTCCTACAACTCAAAAATTAAGCTACTCTGGAAAGCTAATGATAGACCTTAAAATAAACTTAATCCCGCATTAGTTCGAAGTGGATCTAATTATTATTATTATATATTTCATCATGAGAACTATATGTATTAATGTAATATGACAATTTACGTGCTTAATTGGGAATTATCATGCATTTGTCTGTGTATACATAAAGGTCAAGGCTTTTCCTCTTCTTGCAATCATGCATGCATTGCTGCCCGAGATCTAAGAATAGGACGAAGAGGTTAAAGATTAAAGAGGAGCAAATTAAAACTGTGGTCATACTTTGTCTGACATAACACACATGGATTGTGGGTGGCAAATGCATGTCATGTCGCATGTGAAGGCGATTATGAAAGTGGGTTAGGTAGGTGAATTGGGTTAATTAATAGAAGAAGGTGGGTGTGGTGTTGGCCTCATCATGTGAGCATCCATATACGTTGGGCTCAGACAAATTTAATGCACCCCTTACCGATTAAATGCATGTCGTGTTTGCCATCCTATTCTATTCGCCCTCGATTCATGGTGTCTGTGGTTGTTCTCACTTTAGATTCCGTTCCTTTATCTATGTTTACTAGAATCTAGTCCACTTTGGAGAGTGTAATGACACCGGTATAAGAACACTTATTTGCTTTGTCGCATCAGTATGATACCTATTCAAATGTATTATGAGTCAACTCGAGTCCGTCGTGTGGTCGATATATTGATACTAACTATAATGGTTAGACGATTAGGTCTAATGATGCTTAACAACTCTACGAAATGTTAATGCTTAACATAATCATTTATAAAATAACTTTACGTAGATTAGTTCAATCGAATGCATTGATTCATTTCGATTTAATATTATCTTTATATTTTCGACTTAAATATCGAAGATATTTGTATTCGACACATATTCAATTTAGTTTCATAGATGTTTAATTCAATCCACCTTTCATATGATGCTAATCCTATGATTGAATCATATTCAAACCAAGTTGGCTTTGCGACTGGAGCAAAATGACCATTTAGGTTTTGGCTTAGGTTCTTATGAACTCTCTTATTAATTAGATTAAGACTAAAAAAACCATTGGAGAGTTAACACATTATTATCTCAACACTTTCTTGTGATTCTGTTTGGGAAGTTGACACATTGGAAAGTTTTTCCTGAAGATGGGTCATTGAACATTACTTACAATGACATGAACCACAGTTTCATAGGTTTTAGATATCTTATTGTGCAAGAAAATAATAATAATCAAATATCAAAACATACGTAACAAAAATCCCATTACCGATCAAATCCTCAAAAATATATATAAATAATAAATATTTATAAAATAATATAAATTTTAAAAATGAAAACGGTTTCAAAAATATAAACATATATACATATATAGATCTAAAATGATCTGACAACATTTTATGGCCACCAACCGATATCCATAGTGGGAGATGCTTCTGTGTACTTCATTTAATGTGCTTTCAATGGTTCTATTGATCTTGCGGAATCTTGTCAGCCTTGTTTCGATGCTTTGCTTACTCTAATTATGTTTTGAGATATGTGAAGGCGATTGATAAAAAGGAATAAATAAATATTGGGATAATTATATATTTTTGTTAGATTTTTTTAGTATATTATCTTGCTCTTTAGATTTAAGAAATTTATATTAGATTCTCTATAGTTGAAAGCGAAACATATAACTCCATTTCCTCTAACGTCATCGATTTTATAAATAAAAATAAATAATAATAATTTTAACATCTTAATTATTTTGTTTAATGATGGAAGACGATTATGTCGCTAGGGGCATAGATGACTGTTGTTAATAAGGAAAGAGTACGATTATGAGAGATGGAGTAAAGGAAGAGGAGGAAAAGAATGATGTAGATGCTTTACATATGTATCAGTATTACTCTGCATCTACGTCTGCTTCACTTGGTAACTGCGTCGGTACTAATACATATAAAGAGCAACGAAATGACCAGACGCATATATAGAGTGTTATGTCATCCTTTTCGTCTTCTCCCTTTACCTCATCTTTTGTCATCATTCTGCATTCTCATCCGTCACAATCACCCATGTCGTGGCCTCGTCCGTCACCACCGAAAGTATCATTAGAATATTAAAATTATCTTTTTACCTATTATTTTTATACTTTCATTCATAAAATCGATGAGGCTAGAATAAACAAAATTAGATGTTTTACTTTTATAATTATATAAATTTTAATATATATTTTTAGTTTAAAGCGGGAGATACTAAAAATATCTAAATATAAAGAATAATATATAATTAATGAAAAATCTTTTCTAAGGGAAAGGAATTGAATGAGTCAGGTCGCGACCAAGCAATTACTGCTCTGCTATTGGACTGTGTTCTTCAGCTACTTTTTCTGATTTCAATCGGACGGTGCGTCAGTCTGTCTACAAAAGAAAAAAGAAATTAGGGTTCCAAGTTCTAAATGAAGCACCGATGCGAAGCACAACTGATTCGGAGAAGAACACGCCAAATCAATCCGAACACAGCTCGTGGAGAGGAGGACCGAATGGTAAGTGTGTGCTACGACAATGCAAAAGCAGAGAAATATTATACTAACGATCTACGAGTGGCAATGAGTAGCTAATAGATAAAAAGCTGCGGAAAACAGATGGAGGGTATGATTGGTTTACGGCACTGACGTTTCAGTATGGTAGCTTTGTACTCTGAACAGTAGAGATCCTCTATTAATATCTCCACATTCACACATCAATTTGGATGGTATCGAAAGTAGGACATCAAGAATGTAGTCTTTAGATACTCTCATGATCGAGTAGGTCGAGTTCTCTCGCCGACTCGATCTATACTCTCGTGACATAATCTCTAGTATGATGTCAAATTTTACTAGTCTGATGGATGATGATAAAATACTTTTAATCATTCTCTTCACTTGGTCACTCTACTAAGTTAAAATTTAGAGTTTTCTTCATGGAGTTTTCCTTTCTACTGTACAAACGTATTTGTACTACGTGCCAAGTACTAATTGGACACGGCTCATCTGATCTTATAGTTTATGAGAGAGATCTCTATATATATATGTTAAGGACCCTTCCGCTAGCCGCCTTGATGCTGTTTGGTTTCCCGTCTCGACTACAATGAGCTTTTGGATCGAAGGATCACGTATTAGTATGTCCACGAATCTACTCCATTTGGCGTCAAGTGTACATCCACACAGCCCTCCTCTGAGGAAGAACCAAAGCGAAGCACGAGGAATCCGATGCACTGACGAGAAAGAAAGCCACTGACAGTACCGCGCACATTCACAAACCTCCAAAGTCCAAACCGTAGCAGCACAGCCCTGCCGTGCCGTGTGCCACCGATGCGCCAAAAAGCCTCTCTCGTCACGAGAAGAATCTTAAGCTTTTGCACCTTGAGACGACAACCGATCGAGGGCACCGAGACAAGTGGGGACGGGAAGGAGGACGATGGCAAAGTCTCCGCAACAAGAAAAGAATGGAACTATGCGTTTTAACTTGTGCCAATCGCCATGAAGTTTCAGAATAGTATCGACACCGTCAGCTCTTTGGTGAAGAAACAGAAGAACTTTATTTGCTTTACCGGAAGCACCCACTGCTACAAGTAGGAAGATGAAGAAGCACTCATCATTAATACATTGCCGACAACGAGTGTCAGCTCATGAGGTACTGCTGATCACCAGCAATCCTAGACGCACAACAACGACAACTTGATTTCTATCTAGAGCAGAGACTTTGAGGTTGAAAACCTTATTTGATTTCCCAGTACATAGTGGCAGGATAGACCCCAACAGCTACGATCAATTATTAAGTACTTCTTGGAACCAGTGAGCAGAGGTCTTGGGGTATCTCTTCAACCCATTCCTGTAGTCGACGTATACGATCCCGAAGCGAACAGTGTAGCCGTCGGACCACTCGAAGTTATCCAGCAACGACCATGCGAAGTACCCTCTCACGTCGACTCCGTCCCTGCCAATACCAACGAACACACAGCTCCACTTTACTCCTGGAACAAGTACAATTCAAATGCAAGCAAACCTGATAGCTTTCTCGACGAAGTATAGATGATTCTTGTAGTAGTCAACCCTCATATCATCTTGTAGGGCTTCGTTAAGTGGCCATGATGCGTTGTTGACCTCGTCGACTCCTAAGAGGGACAGCGACACATGATGATTAAGACTTGGTCGTGCGTACATTATGTCTCATGCGTGTCGGTGAATATTCTCAGATACTTGCCGTTCTCAGTGATGTAGATGATTGGGTTGTTGTATCTGTTCTTAAGATACAACAAGGCCTCTCTGATGCCCTCTGGGTAAACAAATAGCCAATCCGAGGCAGCCTGCATCACAAGCATAGAAATGAGTTGCTCACCGAGCCAGCCACTGTGCTGCAACATTAAGCTGATCTTACCTGAGTGCCGATGGGAGTCCCTTGTCGTTTACCTGTTTCAATGGAAAGAAAGAACAACACTTAATACGCAGAAATATGAGATGACAAGAAGGAAGTCTGCGCCTGTTTACCGCTCTGGAGTGTGTAGGAATCGGTTTCGTAGCTGGCGTTAAGTTTTGTCAAAAGGGAAATGCTATTAGCGAAGTAGGTGGTGTAGTAATTTAGTCCGATGAAGTCGAATGATCCTCGAACCATTTTAGATTGCTTGGCAGTGAATTTTGGCAGGCGATTCCCGACGATCGCCCTCATCGTAAATGGATAGTCGCCTTGAGTCAGAGGATCCATAAACCTACACCACAACTCGCATAAATCCATGATCAAGATTTTGTGAAGAAGGCCATCCTGTTAGTGTTTGCGTGAAGGCCACAACTCACCATCCAAACATGAAATCTAAAGCTCGTGACACAGCATCTTCATCAGATTTGGAATTCGAGTAAGGCACGAACCAGTGAGTGATCAGTGTTATGCCTATCATTCCCTTCTGAGTTGCCTGACGACAAATGTATATAATAAGATAGCTTACATGTATATAAATGGATGTGCTGCTTACCTGATACTTGCGTCGGTACCGCTTCACGGCAGCTGCATGGGATAGCAGCTGATGGTGAGCACAGAGGTAGGGCTCCCGACCCGAATCGCCTTCGGTGCACTTGCCTTCAGTCCATGGAGAACACCGACCGGGTGCAAATATACCGCTCGAATACCCCCTGTCGCAAAACGTCCATGGCTCGTTCATCGTGATCCAATGCTTTACCCGGTCCCCGAATTCCTTGAAGCATATCTCGCTGTAGTCGCGGAAGTCATTCCTGCATGTTTGGATCACGGTGAGCAATTAGTCTAGGTATTGGTTTGTCTGAAGAGGCCAGCTGCTGATGAGTCAAGCCTCTCGAAGAAGAGATACGTTTGAGGTCCACAAGAAATCTGTGACTTACACGATACTTGGGCTAAGGAAACCTTGGTATTGTGATTCAAGACCCTGAGGAAGATCCCAGTGGAAGAGGGTCACAAAGGGCTGCAAGCCTGTCGATGTCGAGAAGAAGAGTTATTCTACATGGTTGCTAACCTTTCCAATCCTATGTTGAAGGGCCACATACCATGGTCTAGAAGATCATTAATAAGAGTGTTGTAATAATCTACGCCTTCTTGATTGACTCCACCACTCAAACTTCCATCTGATATCAGACAACGAGGACTTGTCAAACGTTTCATTATCTAGGAAAGGAATCCAATGATAGGAGATCGTTCCAAATTCGTAGCTTTCTTACTGGGTAGTATCCTGGACCAGGAAATGGAGAACCTGAAAGCATCCATGCCCATATATTTCAAGAAGCCCATATCTTCCTGCAGTTTTCGGTAATCAGCAATTGGTAGGCAATGAGTATCACGAGGATAACGATTGCTGCTTTACCTTGGAGCGATGATAAAAATCGATGGCCACGTCGCCGGTGCTTCGATCTGCTATCGCTTCTGCCAAACACAAAGCCATATGTCATATATATCTCTTAGCTGAACAAGTCAAACGATAGCAACAAGTAGGATGGTGTGTGTAGAGTCAATCGCACGCTGTGGAATACTTGAACGCAAGACAGAGATAGCACACCTACTTCTTCTTACCTTACAAATGTTACACTTCATCAATACAACCAGAAATAATACAAAGAAAACGTATAAATCATGTTGGAGATGGAAGAGATTAATTGAGTTAGCAGCGTTGAGCTTATGACACATTAATTGAGATGCACTAGTTATTGGGTTACCAATAAAAGAATCATATATAGAACTATTCCAAAAGTAACAACATCAAGCAAGTATTTCGTCGCATACAAATTGTTGACTGGCTGGCCAACTTGAACGGAGTTATTGATTGAGTTTTGCTCTATGAAATTTACAATGTGTGTGTGTGTGTGTGTGTGAGAGAGAGAGAGAGAGAGAGAGAGAGAGAGAACCTGGGTGATCGTGGGTGAAGGTATCCCAAATACTTGGTCCCCTATGACCTTCAGCAGCAGCGCCTTCGTACTGTGAACAGGAGACAAATCAGTTGATGATCGATCAAGAGACACAGAACCAGAAGTCTTCTTTCTGAAAACTAATTAAGATCGAGAAAGCCATGAAGGGCCGACCTGATACGCGGCGGAGGCAGCTCCGAAGATGAAACCCGTCGGAAAACTGCTTCGATGCACATCCTTCTGCTCCGTATGCTCTTGCGCTGCCACCATCAGTATCAGCAAGGAGAGGGGGAGGAGAAGGCTACAGAGTCCGAGAGCCATTGATGTCCAAGAGGTGGCAAAACGTCGCCAACAAGTGGAGGTGGGAGTGGGGAGAGGAGAACGTCAAAGCATGATATAGCGCCACTGGGTCTTAAATTGATGGCACAACGTCGTATGCGGTCGGTAGAATCGCCAAATATACTGCAGTTTCTGTGGTGGTAAAACCTGTTTTGCTAATGCATGGTTTGCAATGAGCGGCATCGAAGCCTTGTGTGGGTTGATTGATGCACAGAGGCAGACATCTTTGGTGATCCAAATTATGTGAACCGGTCAAGCGGACACAAGGCGAAGACATGGAGGTGCAGATCGCAATTATTTCTCCCAATCGGCCATCTCTGATTACAGTGAGAACAGTCAGTCTTTTCTTTCCCATCATACATATAAGAAGTATAGTTAGCACATTTTGTTATTACTAAATCATAACAAATCTTTTACATTCTCAATGATATTCGAAGACACTAAATATATTCCTTCTTAAATTTACTGATTCAAATATAATAGTAGTTGACAATTGCAACCCCAGCAAATATTAGTACAATTTTGTATTGTACTTTTGTGATACCATTCATGGACTGATTCACCATAGGTTACCCTTATTGCTGTTAAGAAATTATTTCTTTTACATCTTAATCCAGAATATTCAAATGATCTTTTCTCGACTTTATTAAAAATGATATTAAATTTATATCTGGATTCATTCCTTCCTATGTCACACTAACTTTTTGCTCTTCAGTAGTATGATTGATACATTGATACTAATTGTAATGGTTAGACGATGAGGTCTAATGATGTTTAACAACTCGACCAAATGTAGTCATTAATAAAATAACTTTACATAGATTAGTTCGATCGAATGCATTGATTCATTTCGATTTAATATTATCTTTATATTTTTGACTTAAATATCGAAATGATTTGTATTCGACACATATTCAATTTTGTTTTGTAGATGCTTAGTTCAATTCACTTGTTATATGATGCTAATCTTACGATTGAATATGCAAAATGACCATCTAGGTTTTAGCTTAGATTCTTGTGACCTCTCTTATTAATTAGATTAAGACTAAAAAAACCATTGGAGAGTTAACACATTATTATCTCAACACTTTCTTGTGATTCTGTTTGGGAAGTTGACACAGTGGAAAGTTTTTACTGAGGATGGGTCATTGAACATTACTTACAATGACATGAACCACAGTTTCATAGGTTTTAGATATCTTATTGTGCAAGAAAAAAAAAATCAAATATCAAAACATACGTAACAAAAATCCCATTACCGATCAAATCCTAAAAAATATATAATAATAATAAATATTTATAAAAATAATATAAAATTTAAAAATGAAATTGGTTTCAGAAATATGAACATATATACATATATAGATATAAAATGATCTGACAACATTTTATGGCCACCAACCAATATCCATCATGGGAGATGCTCTGTGTACTTCATTTAATGCGCCTTTAATGGTTCTATTGATCTTGCGGAACCTTGTCAGACTTGTTTCAATGCTTTGCTTGCGTTTTGAGATATGTGAATGCGATATATAAAAAGGAATAAATAAATCTTGGGATAATTATATATTTTTGTTTTATTTTTTTTAGTATAGTATCTTGGTCTTTACATTTAAAAAATTTATATTAGAATCCTATGATTATGAAATTGAAATATATAACTCCATTTACTCCAATATTATTGATTTTACTAAAATAATAATAAAAAATAATTTTAATATTTTAGTGGTAGCAAATAACGATGTCGTTATGAGTATAGATGGCTGTTGTTGATAAGAAGAGAGAACGATTGCGAGAGGTAAAGCAAAAGGAGTGTTGTTGATAAGAAGAGAGAACGATTGCGAGAGGTAAAGTAAAAGGAGAGGATGACGTAGATACCGACACTCTTGCATATGTGTTTGTACCACTCTGTATCTATGTCGGCTCCACTTGACAACTACATCGGTGCCAACGCAGATATATAGCAACGAAAGGATCATTCGATATCTGTATTTTGTTCTCCCTTCTCATCCACCATAGTCATCTATTGCTCTCGTTCATCATCATCGAAAACATAATTAGAATATTAAAATTATTTTTTTATCTATTATTTTTATAATTTCATGGATAAAATTAAGGATGCTAGAGTAAATAAAATTTAATATTTTATTTTTATAATTATTTAGATTTTAATATAAAATTTTTAAGTCAATCGATATACTAAAAATATCTAAATATAAAGAATAATATATAATTAATCAAAAATCTTTTCTAAGGGAAAGGAATTGACTGAGTCAGGTCGCGACCAAGCAATTACTGCCCAACTTGGGACCTACTGTTTGCTGGAAATAACAATTGAAATGAATGCCAATGTCAAAATATCGTGCAGGGATCAGTGCGTTGGACGGCCTGATGGGTCATCTGCTACCCTATTTAAGCCATGATAGCTCCAATTTACCTGCCGAGCCGACTCAGGCATACCTGAAATCTGTCCATGACCAAACCCAGCTGGTCTCGCTATTCCCATATCATGTTGGGTGTTCTCAGTGCTCGTCCCACCTCCACAGGTAGTAGTAGACCCTAAGGGTTTGTCATGGCTGGCTGTCCCATTGCGGTTCCATCCTGTTGCTCGTCAAGGTAGCTGAAACCTGATTCCTGTTGTTTCATGGTGGCGCTGACAGAAGAGAGAGACAGAGAGCACCTGGAGTGAGAGACTCCTGCAAGACGTCCGACACCTGGAGTCGTTGTCCAACCTCCACAGGCAGTAGACCCCAAGGGTTTGTCATTGCTGGCTGTCCCATTGAGGTTCCATCACAGCTACTGCTCGCTGAAGTAGGTTGCTCTTGTTCCATGGTGGCGCTGACATACGAGAGAGAGAGCACCTGGAGTGAGGGACTCCTGCAAGACGTACGACACCTTAAGTGCTTGTGCAACCTCCAAAGGGTTTGCCATGGCTAACTGTCCACTGACGTTCCATCACAGCTACCGCTCGCCGAGGTAGCTGAAACCTGGTTCCTGTTGTTCCATGGTGGCGCCGACAGAAGAGAGAGAAAGCACTTGGAGCGAGCGACTCCTGCAAGACGTCCGACACAGAAGAAGGGCTTCTCATAACTTGCTGCATAGAATAATAATGAGACCCATGCACCACAGATGGAGGACACAAGACCCGGTGATCACCAGCTACCCAATCATGCAAAACATCTGCTGTAGATTTTGATGAACTTGGGTGATTTAAAGAGTTCCTTGAAAGCTTCTGAGTCTGCTGAGGTCTCCTATCAAACAAAATAAAGCATCATGGATTCCAGTCCAGAACTCGTCCGACAAGTCTAACAAACGAACAACATAGCACAGCACAGATGTTTCTACCATGCAAGGATGAGGCCTCACGATGAAACTGTGATGAGGGAGTCACAGGAGGCGGCTTCCTTCGACGGTCACCGAGGCCCGCCAGCCGTCGGCAGCAACTACGCTTCCCATGATCGAAGTCAGGTAGTGGATGAAACCTGGATTTGGCATCTTTTCCATGAAGTTGATGAACAGGTCTTAATTAATTATTTAAATGCATTAAACTGTGGCAATAAACATATATTGTTCGTCCATCATTCAGATTAATCCCAAAAGGTTATCCTAAGATCGATTCAAATTCCTATAGCCCAAGCTACAGAAAGCATGCAACATAGAGGAAACTGGAAAGCTTATTACTGAACAGAATAAAGTCAATCTGAGAACCATCTACTAAGAGGATGCAAATCTTACATAAAGCAGTCTAACATTATGTTGCAGAGCCCATAGTGACATTTCCAGCAAAGAACAGAGATCGATGTCTTCCTACCTAAACATCATATTGAAATCAAAGTCAGATGCAGAGGCGTAGAAACTGAAGGAACAAAATTTGCCAACGAAAGAGACTCAAAGAAGCAACGAAGCAAACAGAATCAAATCAAACCTGCTACATGGCCGACTGACAGAACTTTTGTTCCTGTTAGAAGGATTAGTATATTATGAGCCCACTATATATAGATCGAGTCAATGAAAAGATCAGATGATAAAATATGAAACAAGCACAAGTAACTTGACGACCGGAGAAAATCTTTAAATGTGCTAAAAATAAATAAAAATATGAAATTATAGAATTGCCCCTATCGGCCAAAGTTGACATGTTGACCCGTCAACTACCTCTGTTTCCTCTTCTCTACGGCCGGCCGGCGACGAAGATCGGGGATGAGGAGGAGACAGTCCTCGGTCAGATTTGGGCCGGAGCAGTGTGAGATCTCTCTCACTTCACAGGTTTCTCCTCTCTTCTTACGCACGCTGCGGTGAGGAAGCGAGGAGTGGGGCCGGTGAGAAGTTGACTTGGTCAACATCTCCAGTTGACCCGACTCGACCAAATCTGACTGAATTTTAAGTCGGTTTTCACAAATTCTCCTCTTGCTTGAGAAAAAAATTGATATTGGTTGGGTTCTCTTCTCCCAAAAATGCCTCATTCATAGGGCATTAAATTAAAGCTTAATATAAATCGATCAAATTCAAGTCGTGCTTGAATTTAGCTAAAGGAAGCGACTTCATCACGATGTCAGTCCAGTTATGAGTTATATCAATTTTGTGAAGTTGAACTTTCTTTTTAATGATAACTTGATAAATAAAATGATACCTGATAATATATTTGGTTCACATAATACATTTGGTTATTCGGAAAAAAAAAGAAGATATCATTATGCATAATGACATCTTTTTTTAATTTATAATTTATATATATAAAAAATTAATCGAATTACTTCCTTGCTTTAGTTATTGTTGTGTCTTTTGCGTGGTTGAAAGGACAATAGTAGATGTGGAAGGTAATGAATCTCCGTTTGTGAAGATCCCTAGCATAATTATATAAAACCAACCATCCTTTAAGGCTAAATAGTAAGTAGAAGATGTGACTGTCTCCCATTCGTCTCTCATAAACGAAGACTATACAAAGTTGTGCCACGTGAGGCTACATAATAGAGAAATGCATGATGATAAATAAGCAAGGTTTATTGGATGGTAAAAAAATCTCAAAATTGGAAAAGTGTAAGCATTGTATTTTTCCTACTCGAAGGAAATCCTTGATTGCATCCATTCAGATTATTTATCTCGCTGGTAATATCTAAAGAAAGAGCTCTGCTCATCTTTATTATTGACAACTTCTCGACGAAGGTATAAGTATATTTTGATAAACACAAGAGAGATATGATGGAGAAATAAATTGGGAGGCATGTTTAGATGAAATTTTATAATAATAAATTCAATAGTTCTTGTGTAAAGAAAGGAATCATTCACCACTATATAATTAATCTCACACAGAGAATGAATTATACCATCTTGAAAATGGTATCATGCATAATCTTAAAAGCCTAACTTCGGTCGAGACAACATCGATCGTGTGCTATCTGATAAACAAATCATCATCATTTGTAATTGAGTTCAAGATATTAGAAGAAAAGTGGAGTGGGTCCGTTGTTTCTTGTTTATGTTTAATATTTTTTGTCATAAAGTATATGTAAAGGTAAATGATGGTAGATTAGAAGTATATGTAAACGTAAATGATGGTAGATTAGAAGTATATGTAAACGTAAATGATGGTAGATTAGAACCTAGGTCAAAATATTACATTTTCTTTGGTTATCTGATCAGGAGTAAAAGGCTTTAAAGTTTGGTTCCTAAAGATTCATAAATTCAAAATACATAAGAGGTATTATTTTTGATGAGCATGTGCTATCGAGGAAGGACAAGGAGGCTACAAAAGATGTAAAACCAATTACGTAACGAGTTTTGATTTTAAAATTATCCAGAGCCTGTCATCACCTATACATCTCTAGAAGATAAATATGAGGAGAAAAATAATTGATCGAGGAGGAGCACCCTTATCATATCGCGAACCATATCCAAATCTAAAGTATACGAATGTCATCACCTACACACTAAGAACTTGTAAAGTATACAATAGTCAACTTCATATAATGTCAAAGAAGTAACATTAGACAAGACGATAATAGAGGAGTTACAATCATTATCGAAGAACCATACTTGGGAATTGGTAAAACCTACACCCAACAAGAAATTGGTTGGGTGCAATTGGATCATTAAGGTAAGGGAGCAGATATAAGAATCGTTTGATGGCTAAGAAATATAGTCGTATATTAAATATCAATTACAAAGATATTTTTTCTTTAATTGTTAAACATATTTTTATTCAAAGTCTTACTAGTCTTAGTAGCAACATTCAGTATAAAATTAAAGTAACTAAATGTGATGATGATATTGTTTTTATGAAAACTTAGAAGAAGAGATCCCTATTGAGTAGTTAGAAGGGTTTGAGAAAAAAAAAAAAAAAAAGAATGAGAACCATGTTTATTTACTAAGAAGTCCTACTACGATCTCAAACAATCCTCCAAGATATAGATGACTCGATCAATTTATGCCTAATTTTAGATATAATAGATTATTTTTATGATAATTATATATATATATATATATATATATATCTAAAAAGAATAAATAATTTTATAATATATTTATAATATATGTTGATGATATATTTATTACTAAAAAAATAAATCTAAAAATAAATAGACTTAAAAATATGCTTTACAATCACTCTTGACGCATTTGAGTGCATCCAACACATGTCGATAATAATAAGTTCTATTATTATCACAGTTACATCCATCTTATAACCCTCCACGTGGCACTTTGGGGTCGCTACTTCTTACCCAATACCATCTTCTTCTGCCTCTTTGTCGTCGGTAACGGTGGCATCAACACAGGAGCAGGAGCCTTAGGAGGTTTAAGAAGTTTCTACCACCACCACCAACCTTTGAGATAGCCAACGGAGACAAGAAAAGCCCCGAAGAATCCAAGAGAGTCGAGGGAATCCATCTTCATCGCTGAGATGTTGTTGTGAGGGATTTACTAGGAGATGGGGGCTTAGGAGTCCTAATAGTAGTTGGGTAGTGTTGTTGTGGGGTTTCAGCGTCCAGTACTATAATTTATGAACAAAAGTTTCACTTTATGTTTTTTATCATGAAAATGTTATATTTTTCAAAATTTACTAAGATTATCTATCTTAAGTTTGAAATATTTTAACTATTGAAATATTTGTGGATAAACTATTAGTATTATTCATCTTTATATCCTTATTATATGAAATAATCTTCATTCATCTAATAATTTCCTGTTCGAATAAGATATAAGCTAATCTAGTTGATGGTTATCATAAGATCATGAGCTCGAATCTCACCATTTATATTTTATATATAATAATAATAATAATAACAATTATTATTATTATTAATATTGGTTCTTGGACTAGACTCACTCAAATCTGATTCAATTTTAAGATAGTTCCCATAAATTCTAGTCATAAAAATAATTGATGTGGGTTCAACTCTAAAAACTTCCATCTTCTCTTCTTTCAAAAATACCCCATAGGGCATTAAACTAAAGCTTGACGTAGATTGACCAAATTCAAATAGTCCGTTGGGTTGCAAGCTATATCAACACTGTGAAGTTGGCTAGAGGACGCGGCTTCATCTTCATGTCCGTCGAGTTGCGAGCTATATCGATCATGTGAAGTTCAAATTTCCTTTTAGTGATAACTTCATAAATAAAATGATATTTGACGTCGATATGTTTGGTCCTTCAAAAATATGCACGATGACATCTTCTTTTTAATTTGTAAATTTAACTAAATTATTTTTTTTTATTACTTTAGTTATCACCTTGGTGGTCGAAAGCACAATAGTAGATTGGAACCCACTTTCCAACTCATTCACCTATAGGGAAGATATAGACGGTAATGGATCTCCATTTGCCAAGATCCTTAGTATAATTATAATAGAATGGAATAGCAAAGAGAATGACTTGTACTATCTTGGAAAGGGTATTGTACATAATCTTAAAAGCTGAGCTTCCAAATCATTCTGGGTCAAGACAAATCGATCGTATGCAACTTGATAAACAAATTGATAAACAACTTGTACTATCTTGGAAAGTGGAGCAGATCCCCTGCTTCTTATTTACTTTTAAGAATTTATGGTTATAAAGTATATATAAGGGTGAATAATGGTAAACTAGAAGAACGTAAGTCAAAATATTATATTTGTTTTAGTTATCTCTTAGGGGTAAAAAGCTTTGAAGTCGGGTTCCACAAAGAGTTTTGATTCCAAAATCATCCTTTGCACATGGAATACCTATTGTCACCCATACATCTCCATAAGATAAAAAAAAATTAGACGAACTATAATTAACCAAGGATGAGCAACCTTATAGCGTTGCCCTCTATCGATCACGTTACCGATCACATCCAAATCTAAAGTACACGAATGACATCATGTAAGCAATTGTTGTTGTTGAGAAGTTACGGAGTGCAAAATAATCAACTTCATATAATGAGGCTTTTGGTAGTTCATACTCAAAGAAATCACATCAAGCAAGATGATAATAGAGGAGTTACAATCGTACATAGAAATAGGTGAAACCTCAACCCAACAAGAAGCTAGTTAGGTGAAAATGGATCTTTAAAATAAAAAAAGGAGGCAACTATAAAACTTGTTTGGTCGCTAAGAAATATAGCTGGATATTAGGTATCAATTATAAAAAATACATATAATTTTAGTTGTTAAACATACTTCTATTTGAGTTTTGCTGGCCTTAGTAACAACATTCCATCTGAAATTAGAGTAGCTTAAAGTGAAAATGATAATTCTTCGAAAAACCTGGAAAAAGAGAACTATATTAAATAATAATAAGAAGGGTTTAAGGAAAAAGAGAAAGAGAACTATATTTAGTAAGAACTCCCCCTACAACATCAAACTGTTTTCGTAATGGTATAAATTATTTAATCAATTTATGCTTAATTCTAGATATAATAGATTATTTTATGATAATTATGTATATCTAAAAAGTGTAAATAATTTTATAATATATTTATGTTGAATGTTGATGGTATACTTATTGCTATGGAAAAATAAATTTAAAATAGATGGACTTAAAAATATGCTTTCTAATCACTCTCGGAGGCCTTTGAGTGCATCCCACACGTCGATAATAATGTGTCATCACAGTTATATCCGTCCTATAACCCTCCATCTGATATCAGGCTTTGGGGGTCGCTACTTCTCATCCTATAGTACCTACTTCTATCTCTTTGTCGGTGGCAACAATGGCACCGACCGACACAGGAACTCCTACTATCACCATCATCCTCGGGATGTTGTGAGGTTTTGGAGTCTAGTGTTACAATTTATGAACAAAAGTTTCATTTTTATGTTTTTTTTTCATGAAAATGTTCTATTTTTTAAATTTTACTAAAGTTATCTATCTTAAGTTTGAAATATTTTAACTATTGAAATATTTATGGATGAATTATTAGTATTATTCATATTTATATCCTTATTATATGAAATAATCTTCATTCATCTAATAATTTCCTGTTCGAATAAGATATTCGTTGATATTATAATTATAATTATAATCAAATACGGTTGTTGCCGAATATTTATTTCGCCTTTCGCTTTGCATCGTCAAGCTATAGCCACAACCCTCATCGGCAATTCATCACTTGCAAGCCGGGAGCGGCGGCCCGCAGAGGCACTTGTTGTGGAAGAAGGCGTATCGATCGAACCTTTGGATCCCCTCCCCGCTGGGTATCGGACCGCAGAGCCGGTTGTAGCTCACGTTCAACAGCTGCCACTCCACCTTCCCCATCTCCGGCGGCAGCCTCCCGTAGACCCGGTTGTGGTTTAAGTCCAACGCCGTCATTTCCTCCGGGATCTCCACCTGGGTTATGTTGAACTCGATTGCGTGGTTCCTCGACAGGTCCAGAACCTGCAATGGCTTGGACTTTCCGAACAGGTGCGCCGCGTCGCCGCTAAGTTGGTTGCGAGACAGGTCGATCCTCTCGAAGGTGTTGGACGCGAAGGACGGGGGAATGGAGCCCGTGAGGTTGTTGTTGCTGAGATAAAGGTAGGCGGCGGGCGACCGGGCCAGCGACTCGGGGATGGGACCAGTGAGCCGGTTGTGGTCGATGGCGAGGTAGCTGAGGGGGAGCGTCGCGAGGGACGCGGGAATGGCGCCGGAGAACTGGTTGAAGGCGAGGTTGAGGTAATCAAGGCGGGTGAGACGTGCGAGGAAGTCCGGGACGGGGCCGGAGAGGCTGTTCCAGTCGAGGCGCAGGAAGGTGAGGTCGGTAATGGTGCCGATGGCAGGGGGAATGGGGCCGGTGAGGCCGGGGTTCTTGTGGAAAGTGAGGGAGGTGAGGAAGGGGAGGTGGGCGACAGCGGACGGGATGGCGAAGGAGGTGTTGGTGCCGTCGATGTCGAGGGAGGTGACCCGGCTGGTGGTCTCGTTGCAACGGACGCCGGCCCAGTCGCAGCAGGCATACTGGGAGGTCCATGCGATGAGGACGTAGGGGTCGCCGAGAGCCTTCTTGATGGCGAGCAGGGCCTTCTTGTCATCCTTGTTGCATTTGCCCGAGGAGACCGGCGAGGAGGAAAGGAGAAGCACTAAGAAGAGAAGACAAAGGAAGTCCAGAACAGAAGCCATTATCGAAGGAGACGGAGACGAAAGGTAAGGTTGGCAATGGTTTGTATAGAGGCTTCGCCACTACCGGGGGACAGCGCGAGTGCAGTTGGGACTCGAATCATTAGTGTCACCGTCGGTCACGGAGATGACACCACCACGTGGCCTCCTGTGTCGATTAGCCACACACAAGACATGTGTCCGGTGACACGCATGATCTTTGCAGGATCCAAATCGGTGTGGCTTTTTGTCACGCATGACGTGTCCGTATCCTGTCCGGGTGTAGCAACAATTGCCACCGGTACGAAATTAAAATCCTATTAAATGGACGTCTTGTAGCACTTCATCCATTGTTGTGAGATCCTGTCAACAATAATTGCACTTAGGATGCGGAAAGCAATACCACGTGTTTCACATGCTCATAATTCTCCCAGGGACCATAATATGTATCTTCTATCTATTGCTATGAGCTATAGATAGTGGTATGAGCTATCCGGTGTGCGTATGTGGTCACTACGGGTCGACAAAAGCCAGTGGAGATGGTTGACTGTCATTTAGAATGAGTTGAATCGGATTGGGGATTACAACTTCTATCTATTGCTCCTTCCTCATGAGGTTTCTACTATTTGCCTCAGTCGATAGAAGAGAGTTGGCATGAACAGAAGGTATTTAAAGCTAACCTAGCTCAAATCGACCTATAAATTAATTGATCTATCAGTCGATCTAGACTATAATATAGAAATGAATACTGTTATCAACTTTCTTGATCACTATATATTATTATAATATAAAAATGAGTATTGTTATCACTTTCTTAATAATAATATATATATTCATCTTACGTATTAAAGTTAATAATAATATATTCATCAGATTTAATTTTAGTTTTATTTATTTTAATATGGGACTAATATGAAGTGTTATAAAGAATAAGAAAAATAATAAATAGGACTATGAGTGTAAGATTAGGGAGTCGTACAGATATGGCTAATTACACTTCATAAATCAAAATACGTAAAAATGACTACCACATAGAGCTTTCATAATACTGCACACTCAGTTACTTCATAAAATATGTTAAAAGAATAAAAATCATTATGTAACTCCGAGTTCTAAACTTGTAGTAAGTAACTCTATAAATCATTCAGCCTGCCAGAATGGCAATTAACCACTGCGTCGAGTTAATCTAACCATATAGTTTCACGTGAAAATTTTGACTCGTTCAGAATTGACTGTTTAGGTTCAGATTTATGATATGATGAGATCAAAGCAGTATGATGTAATACATTCTCACTAAAAAGAGAAAGCTGCATGGTATTTTTTTTGGCATGATCTCATCCCAGAAGGTTATGATTCCTTTACACAAAAAAAAGGTCCATTTGTTTTGACCAGTTTGTTGAACTCGTATGCTCAGAAATTAATTTAATTGTTCTAAAGCTATTTTAAATATCATCCACGTCCAAACAATTTTAAATATTATCTCTTAAGAAATCGAGAGAAAAGATATATGAGTTGATTGACAAAGTTATAGAAGAAATTGATGAATAAATATCATCTAAGTTATAATTGATAATTAAAGTCGCTATGATTAGTTGGTCAGATTTATCTTTTAAAAATTTTAACCTTTTAATTACTTTATATCTCCAATTTAAATGAAAGAATTATGTGACTCATAAGTCTTATTGATTTTGTTATTTTTTATCTTAGGTAAATTATTTGAAGTAAAAAGATAATATTTATATTGGACTCCATATGCAACACATTGTATTGATTTAATAGTGGAGGATATTGGAAAGATCCCTAGCATCTTTATCGTTGGATTTATTTATAATCATATTAGGACTTTGAATACGATGAAAGAATTTATAAGCAATAATGAATTAGTGAGATATGATGTCATTCAATTTGCTACTTCCTTATTGACATTATAAATCATGCATCATAAAAATATTATCTAAAAAAAAATTATATTGGAGAAATGTGTTACAAGTAAATAGATAAAAGAAATGAAAAAGCAAGATGACTGATGATATCATCTTAATATTATCCTTTTAAAATTTTATAATGAACATATTAAAGACAATGAGCCCTTTTATGCAGGTTCTTCAATTTATAGTTAATAAAAAAAAATTACAATAGGATATATTTATAAGGCTATAGATAGAACAAAGAAGATGATTTAAAAATCTTTCGATAAAAATAAAAAATATAAAAAAAATATTTATAATTTATTGAGGAAAGATAAAATTATCAACTTCATTATTTATTATGTGTAGTAGGATATTATTTTAATTTAGAATATTTTTACTAGAATACCTCCATTGAGTTTGATACAGAAGCTGTATATAGGTTATATAAGTGCATTGCAAGATTGGTTCCATGAGCTGTAAAATATGATAATACATGAATTATCTTTATATAAGAATATCGTTGGTCTTTTTGAAATTCTAATGATAGTTTAGGGCAATTACATTCTTAGATATTTATAAATTTATATAATTAATTTCATATATAGTATATTATTATTAATAAATAAAATAAATTTTATAACTAAATGATGGAGTCTATTTGAAAATTTTACCTTGAACTTGGGCTATCAAAATTGTATTGCTTGTGAACAAAACCAAAGTGTATTTAAGCAAGTAAGGATTACTGAATTTTTGTTTCAATTAATCTATTTTTTTTAGATAAAGGTATTAATATATCATATTATCTGGTTTATACAAAATAAAATCAAGTATCGAAGGCTAGTCATGATGTACAAAATAATATTAATGATTCAAACGAGTGGTAGGTGATGGAAATAGGTGTAAACTTATAAGATGCAAAAAAAATAAGGCTGTATTTAAAGATGATAACTTGACATGAGAAGATACATGTCTTTAAAGAATTATAGACATATATAAGATAGATGATAAAGACAAAAATCAATATAAAAGTCTCGAGTTTATCTCCTATCATTATCAAATAAGAGAATCTATTTTGATAAAAATAGATAAGAGAAAAAGAGAGATAACGATATGAATGTTGATTACGATGATAATTAAATTTGATATAAAAATTTATTGTTTTGAATCTTTTGATATTTTTATTATTAGAAGATGGATAATTTTAACTTGGTATTTTAGATTTTTTTAATTTAATATCATATATTTATATTTATTAATTATATTATATATTTTTATATTTATACTAAATTATAAAAATATAATTTTGACGTCTAGTATTTTAAAATTATTAATCCGGTCATATATTAATTTTCACTCCTTGAATCTATTTCAGACTCCATTTTCAGATCGATTACAGGAGCAATGCATCGGCAGATTATAATGATCATACTATATTACTTACGTACATCCACAAAATGACTCTTTTTTTGTTGTACGAACAATTTCTAACAACAGTTCTCGAATCGGATGTCAGAGATTTGGGACGTCGGACTTTATAGACCTTGAAAGCCGCCATTGTGCCCTTTCCTGAGCGCCCGTGAGACCGACACCGAAAGGGCCTCTCTTATAGACCCTATCACTGGAACCGTCCGATACGCGGATCATCGTAAAATTAACGGCGATGATGTAATCCCCTGTTCTTTAATGGATCATCGCTTATCCCCTGACGACCTCCGGAAAGCTAGGGTTTTAACCCAAAATCCGCCGGTCTCGATTCCTCTCTAATGGCGGTGCTCGACCGTGCCACTACCGACAAGAGCAAGTCCTTTTCTCCCAGGCGAAGCCATTGTGATACGAAACCCTACGATTCGAGGTGAGGATGCAATTCCTGGGACTCTGCAAGAGAGAGCAATTTGAGCGCTTGTTCGCCGCGGGGAGGTGTGTCCTTGAGCATCCCGACATTTCGCGTTCTGGTGCTTGGCGAAACTAGTCATGATAAGGCGCCGATTGAGTCGAAGCATTGGTTCCTCCAAGATGCCTTGCCAGTTGAGTTCCCTCTCGATTCTGCCGGCTGTTTCTCCGGGCATTCTTGCTTCTTTCAAAAAGACGCCTTTTAGATTTGGGAAAGGTAGACATAGTCTTTGTCGTATTTTTCTTCTTCCAACCTCGTCCGCTGTTCAGAAATACCAACCGACAGATCGAAGGGATGTTAAGTTGAGTAGCACTCCGTCATATGATCTTGGAAGAACTCGGCTTGGTATTGGTGTGTCACTGTATGCTTCGGTTCCCAAGAATTGGCAAAACCAGCTGCCGCATCGTTCCTTCTCTGCCAACCCGGCCCTGGTGGATGCATATGATGGTTCTGCTGGATCACGAATCTCTCGTGTTACCCGGGCCAATGCGCAAAAAGCTCTCTTTGAGTACCTTCATGAGACTAGAAGCCTGCAGTTCGCTGATGCCGATCATATCAGCAAGAACTCTCCTGTGTTCCTACAGAATCTCCTTGCGAAGGTTGATAATGAGCATAATGTTGGCAGATCCATCACCAGGTTCCTTCGCTACCATCCCATAAATGAGTTTGAGCCATTCTTTGAGAGTTTGGGTCTGAAGCCATCAGAGTTGAATCCCCTTCTTCCCCGTGATATCATGTTTCTTAGTGATGATGAGGTTTTGTTTGGGAATTACCATGTTCTTTGCAATTATGGAGTTCCTCGAAGTAAGATTGGGAGGATGTACAAAGAAGGAACTGACATGTTTAGATACGGTTATAGCGTCTTATACACGAAGCTCCAAGCTTATGAAAAGCTTGGACTTGGCATACCTACTGTTATTAAGTTGGTTCAATGCTGCCCTACAATTTTGCTTGGTGATGTAGATGATGAATTTCTTCAGCTTCTTGAGAAGTTGAGAAGCATAGGGGTTGAGCTGGATGGTATCAGAGGATGTTTATCGGACAAACTTTCATATAGTTGGAGCCGGATACTTAAAATGCTGAGCTTTCTTGATGGAATGCATTGTAGCAAGGACGAATTGGCTGCTTTTATTAAAAGTAATCCAAGGTTTATTTTTGATGATTCTGGAAAGAAATTATACATTTTAGTTGCAATCCTATTGAAGCTGGGTATTAAAATGAACAACATTTTAGTTTTGTTCGTGCAGTACCCTCAACTCCTTGTTGGGAATTTCCCAAAGAACTTGTCGGAATCTGTGCAATTCTTAGCAGAAATTGGGATGGCATCAGATGATATTGCGAGAATTTTGTCTTCCCATGTCAAAGTTTTGGGTTCTTGTTCTTATAAGAAACCCGATGTTGTTTTGTCACGCTTGAACTTATCTGCCAAAAGATTGTGTGAAATTATAAAGGAGGATCCTGAACAGTTTACTAACTTGGCTTCAAGGACAAAGGCTAGTGCTTTAGCTAAAGAAGTTGGAATTTTTCTTAAAGAAAAGACCAACTTCTTGTTGAAGCTAGGATTTGTTGAGAACTCGGACGATATGGTGAAAGCACTTTCCAAGTTCCGGGGCAGAGGTGACCAACTGCAGGAGAGATTTGATTGCCTATTGAATGCTGGATTAGAATGGGGCACTGCCTCGGAGATGATAAAGTTGGTTCCTGCTATACTTAATCAATCAACAGAAGTTATCGAGAAGAAGATCGACTATCTTTTGAATAATTTGGGCTACCCTCTGGAATCGCTTGTGGCTTATCCAGCATTTTTGTGCTACAGTATAGATAAGATAAAGCTCAGGTTTTCAATGTATTTTTGGTTTAAGGAGCAAGGATTACCAACAGATGCTAAAAGAAGGAAAACGTACCACTCCACCATACCCTTGGGCACAATTCTTTCATCCTCGGAGGAAAGATTCACAAAATATTTTGTCAACTGCCATCCTGGAGGGCCAGATGAATGGAAGAAGTTGAAAAGATCAGTATCTTTGAGATAAAATGTTATATCCCAATCAAAGGAGCATTTTCCACTATTTACTGTTTTTCTTACCAACAAGTATTCATTGAAACTTTGGCACGAGGAGACATCCCAATGTGCTGCAGTGTTGGACAAGTGACCGAGATGCATCAGTTAGTCTTTCTTCGACTCTTCTTTGATGACATTATGATCAGGGCTTTATATATCAGGTTCCTAATGGTCCTCCAAATTTGTCTATATTTTTTTTCGGATCATAAACCGTCACACTGCTGATAGAGCTTGTTCAGACTAGAACTGTCTCTAAGTTGATTTCAGTTTGGAGGCACGCCAACAAATACTAGTTTTTTATGCTGTTAGTGCCATACTGCATTTCCTGATAGCTAAGTTTATTAATGATATGCCCTTTTTTTTATAGAAATAAGATTATTCCTTGTCACTTGTTACTTTGTTTTTTTTCGATTTGCTTATTGAGCGATTGCATTATCAAATGTATTAAACACCAGATAGTTTCCTCATGGTATGCCTTAAGCCTTCTGATCCAAAGCCACAATAGTGAAACTTGACCTATAAGCAATGCTATAGAATGCAACTTGAACAATTTAAACATTGAAAATCTGCAAATAGAGAGCGGTGAAACCCGGGTTCTATAAAACCCGTGCACCGACGGTTGAGGTCATTCAAATCTTTGTTATGGTAAAGGGGAATAGTTACATGATGATGGCGTTTGGAGGACAGCACAATTGTTGGTTTACTCGTAGAGTTTTTTTCTTCTTTCTCGCCGGTTGCTATTATCGACTTGCGATATTCTTACTGTTTCTCTTGCAACATCAGACTTGGCGTAGTTAGTGTTACACCTTCGGGACCTTTTTTGCGTATCCAACCGAAGGTGTCTACGTATACAGGCTTTTCAATGACTGAAAAAATGGTAGACACTGTATTGTAGTCTCAGATAGCTCCTGGAAAGAAAATTTTGTTATACTGGACTCTCTCATCATAAAGCTATCGTTAAAAGGAGGCGCAAGAAATAAACTGATAAGATGCAAATGGCATATTCGTCTTTTACTTTAACGTATTCTCTCGATCGTACTCTGCAGTCTTGAGAGATCAGTGAAGACACGAATAAATTGGTAGTAGGAAATACCATCAAAGATATACCATCTACACGAATAAATTGGTAGCAGGAAATACCATCAAAGATATACCATATTGCATGGTTTGCATTAAACACACACCAGGCATCATGGAAATTATGAATAACCAGGAATCAAACAACCCACATAACATTCAATTTCCGATAAAAATGGTTATGAATTCCAGACTATTTCATTTTGACACTGGCACAACGACTAGAAACTACCTGATGTGTAATGCTTCCGACCTAGACACTGGGGAGTGTTTGTGGCAGATGATATAGGAGTTACCATGGACCCTAAAAAAGCTTATAGGTGACCATCATGGTTTAGTAACATAATATGGGAACCCAGTAATTCCAGTAGATGCTACTGCAGGCAATCCAACCGATTCTCTTTTTGCAGTCTGTGGGTATGAAACTTGCGGTGCGGTTGGGTACTGAATTTGAGCATTTGGATAAGCAACGGGATATGCTGCCAGTGCTGGTGGGTAAGAAGCATAGCCAACAGTCGCTGAGCTACCGATCTGCGCCTTTCCAGTCTGTGCATATCCCACTGGAACTGGTATAGTTATTGGGACCATTGCAGCTGGAACTTGTGATTGCATGATTTTGCTCTTGGGTGAGTCTGCGAGCTTCACAGTAATGTTCCTTCCCTGTAGATATAAACAGTTCTTTCTGTCAAAAACAAGGACTGGAAGAAGAGTTGAGGTATTGAGAACCAAAGAAATATTACGGCTCTTTGCCTGCTACCATAAAGAAAAAAATGAAAATGAAGTTGTCCTGCTCACCCCAAGTGTCTTGTTTGGGTCATCTATGGCCTTCTTTGCTGCCTCAACTGTCCTGAACGTGACAAAACCAAACCCTCTGTCCAAAATAAGCAAAAAACATTTAACTCTAGTTGATCCAACCCAAAATGCGATGAGTTATACTGAAATACCACACCTTGATTTGTTAGTCTCTTTATCATAGGCAACTGAACCTTCTTCGATCTCTCCATGCCTGCTAAAGAAACTAAGCAAGTTCTCACTGGATATATCCGGAGAAAGGCCTCCTATATATATCTTCCTAAGTGCTAAATCACTGGTTACAGAAGTGCTGCTTAGGCCTTCACACGCAAGGTTGCAGACAGCCAAACGGCCCTGAGATTTTTGTTAAATGAAAAGGAATGTTAAAGCCAAATCAGAGATAAATAGCACAGGAAAAAAATTACCGGTTTTAGATGCGTGAATTCCCATCTTTAATGATAGCACCATAGATATGCAGCATGATGGTGAATGCAACAGAACACCAGATAAATCCAACAAAAAAGGACTCTCACTATCAAGTAACATTTAATTCTACCTGTTGGATTAGCAGATTCCTTTAATTTCTAGTATGCAACTTAGTTCTAGAAAGGAGGTTTACACTACTTGCAGGCAGACGGTAAATAGTACATAGAGAATCATAGTTAAGTCTAGTTGTTACCTTTTTTTCCATGTATTAGCATAGGCACAACAAAACCATAAGTCAAATAATGCCCAAGGAAAACAAGGAAATAACAAAATAGAGACAAGTGTAGAGGCAATTATAATGACTAAAAAAATGATTTGATTCTCTACTGTTCATGTAATGATTTCTACATCATTAGCTGTTATCACCATATTGAAAAAAATATGTCAAGAAATCGACTTTTGGCAAACAAAGATGCTGGCACATTAATTGGTTTTTGCATATAGTAAGTATAAGGAATAAATAGAGACTCAATCTGACTGTTCACCAAATTCAACAGAGACTTTCAGTAGTCGATGCTATGTTTTTCAGTACTTAAACGAACTCACATGCACCAAATTTTGATTCACTTTGAAGTCTCATTCAACTTCAATATCAGCTCATGCTCAAGAATGGCTGCACTTCAAGTCATCAAGGTAGTCACAACAAACCCATGTTAGACTTCATACCATAAAATAATGAACAAGCTTGAATCAGTTGCAAAATGCCAAGGTTGATATTAGATTTTTAAGTTTGATTTTCATTTTACTACAAGTTGATCATATCCAACTAATGATCAGATTTGACAAAATTCCACATGTGACCAAGAAGTACTTGTGAATATATTGCCTATAAAATTTATACTTGCAATGACTATGTTTACTACTGCATATGAATATGGATAGATGTGTATAAATACACTGTTAGTCTTGGACTCTTTTAGAGTAACTTGGTTCAGAATCCTAGCAAAGACAATTCCTTCGACCATTTAACTTGGTTCAGAATTCGTAGCTAGAGTAACTATCGTCAAGAGTGTGATTACCATGGCACCTAAATGATTAGTCTGTAGATAAGAAGATCTATCATCTCATTAGTAAGATCGTGAAACTGAAGAAACATTCGATGAAATTCAACTAAACATGATAAAAATTTTGAAAATAAGGGGATTGTTACAAATCTTATCCAATTGTAAGCGCACATGAGTCCTCGATGTTCTTGGATTTCAAAAGGTGCATCTTCACAAGGTTTATAATGTTCTACTTGGATTACATAGAACTTTTGAGGGCTACAAAATGAGTCCAGTAGCAATAATCAGCTCTTTGCCAATGTCAAAGTGGTGATCAAACTATCTATGGCAAAAACAACTGAAAACAAGCAGAAAAAAATGCCGTAGATGTTTGAAACAGATTTCTTACATCAATCAACTTGCTGGGTTCTTGCAATGCCTTTTGAGTGGATTCCATATGCTTGTAGGTAATGAAGCCATAACCACGGGATTTCCCAGTTGCCTTGTCAACAATAACGGCTCCCTCCTCAATTTCTCCGTGAACACTGAAAACCTAAATTAACAGATAACTTCTAGTTTATAACATGAATACTGCAAATAAAAATATTTTCAGGCTTTAAAATTAGTCCATGGTTAGCTGTATTATGACAACAAAGACATTGTTGGTTAGGGTCATGTCATCAAAGATGCATCAGGCATTCACAACAAGCAACAAGCAGGCAGCAAAGCACTCACAGCACACAGAGTTTCTGAAGTAGTCTCCCAAGACAAGCCACGAACAAAAAGCTTGCGATGAACAGGATCTTCACTGGCAAGACCTTTAATTTCTTCTGCAACTGAAGGATACTGGTTACCTCTGCAACATCATGCAGTGCACACAGGCAAACATTTGCACCCGCAATTCATACAAAAACAAACAATAGCAGCAGTCATACACCCACTTATATTGAAGAATGACAATAAACTCGAATAAAAATGGATTCAAGGAAAGACGATAAACCTACAATGATTCTCGTGAAAACAAACAAGCTGGCCATTCTGGAGATTACAGCATGAACCATGAGGTACATAGAATTTAAATAATGAAAAGACACAGTCGAACCAATTTTTTTGACTCATCCAAGCATTCTGTAACATTGGCAAGCACATAGTAAGCACTGATAACTAATTTAGAGATCAAAGGGGTGTGCTTCTAAGCAGATGTGAAAGGGGCAGGTTACACACATGTGCAAGTGCATAGGGGAAAAAGAGAAAAGAGTGTGTGCATGTGTATGTGTGAGACAGAGGGAGAGGGGAAAAGAGGAAGAGGAAGAGGAAGAGGAAGAGGAGGAGGATATTACAAGTGATACTAATAAAAACCATCAGTTAAATGAACTTTGATAACAAACCGAAATCATAATAAAGCATAACGATTAACTTAGCTTGGTTCTGACTTTGCCATAACACAAGACCAATGTGTAATTTCTTATGAACAAAGCAGTCTGAGAAAAGGTGAAACACATCAGACATGCATGCTGTTTTTCAGAAGCAACTGTAAGCTAAAAATTACTGCAACCATGGCCTAGCTAACATCTTAACAGCATAAGAATAGTGTATCCATAACCCAAACAACTAGTTGCTGCAGCAAATAGCATAGTAAAATGTGGGTGAAGTGAGGACTTTGTGCTATATCAAGTTCATACCTAAAGAGAAATTCAATCAACTTAAAGGAAAACTTAAATACACTAAGCTCAGAAGTCATTTTTTTATATGACAAAAAGAAAATTAATCTGAACCAGAAGCCCATAGTACACGTTGCATTCCATCATAACCATTATGATCGAATACAATTTTTAAAGGGTGCCATTTTATTGTCCTCACTTTCATGCCTTGAGAAAACATCCATTTTGTTAATTTAGGACAATAATCAAGACATACAAGTTAACATTCTTCTATTTTACTTTGCATTGTATTCTAACTGTTATGCCCAAATGGAAAATACTATCACGGGCTTCTACTTTGTGAGACATCATGTTGGATGCCAAGAAAAATCATGATACTTCTTTTTTCATCTTCTATCCTGGTGCTTCACTTGTATGGAATCCTAATGAAATTCATGGTATCATTTCTACTTTGCTGGTGTGGTGCACCTGATCGACAAATCATAATCATGATTTAAACAATTTTCATAAAAAACACAATTATAAGGTTCACAGGTCCAATGGTTGACTATTAATGCTAATGTCAAAAGAGTTTAGTGATAATTAAAATGATCAGACTTTTCACCTGCAATTTCTTAATTAACCATGCAGCAAAATCTGAGAATCCTGTAGTAACTGTGTTGTTGGATATATCTGATGCCAGTCTTTCCTATCAAAAGGCAAAGCCTTGAGACATAATTTTTGTTCCAACCATTTTTAAAGTATCTAATAACAAATGATGTCAAACATAAACATATGTTGGTCATTCTTATCTCAGACAATCTAAGCCCCCCTGCGTCTTCTAGCAATTCACCTCTTACTTTGGGTGTTGATAACATGCTGATCTAGTCAAATTCAGGACACACATCCCTCTGATTATCTCATGTAAATTGGTCTCTCCCTTCTACGCCAACTTTTTCATTCAGATAATATACCCTCCACGATATCAGACAAGTACCTTTCATGGCCAAGGATCATGAACGCCAAAGAAATACCTCGGTAATAGACAATACACATTATGAACAAAAGAAATTTTACATGATAAACGAATGCTGTAGCCAACAGACAAAAAATGAAGATGAAAAACAGTACGCAGAATTCATGCCACAGCATTGACAACTAGAAAAGAGATCCTCAAGAATAGCATAAAGACATGGGAAAAAAAGGGGGTGAAGAGAATTCAGAACTACGAAATAAAAAAAGCAAGATTGTTACACAGACAGAGCAGCACTAATGGGACCCAAAAAATTTGCCCCAAATCATCAATGGGAAGACCTAATAGGCATCAAAGGACTCGCCACTCTCTTCCTTTCCCGGTAAATCAAGGACGAGCGGGCATGTGAAGCGTGCGAAAGTAATTAAGAAATCGAACCACCTCCGGTGGTCATCGAATCGGGGGGTTTAGGAGGAGGAGCGCTTACAATTTGACGAGGAGATCGACGAGCTGATCCTTTCTGAGAGGGTCGAGAAGGAAGCGCAGCTGCTTGGAGAATTCCATAGCGAAGGCGCCTCCACTGCCGCCTTCCTCCTCCAGCTTTCGCTTCTTCGAGTCTTCCATCGTCGCTCGTCTCTTCTCTTCTCTCCGCTATCTGTTGTAGGAGCAGGGGGCGGTGTGATGGGTGGTGCCTTTTGGGGTTATGATCATTTTATTATTCGTTTGGGTGAACCCTTTAGGGGCCGCACGGAGATTTCCTACGCGGACAACTCACGTGACTACGAGATAAGTTAAAGAAAGTTCGACGTGGGCCGGGCCCACCGCGTGCAGATTCGTCCCCGAAACCGCACCAGCAATAGTTTCCAGCTCTAAAAATACTTATTTTAACATTACTTGTTTTCATGCATTACGTTAAGGCTAAGGGAAGATTAATCCACCTATAAACGGATAAAAAAAAGGGAAAATAGGAATCTCATCACAGCCGACTTTAATTTAATTCTCTTTTTACTCAAATTAATTATTAGCGTTTAGCTTCCTTCTACTTTGGTTTTCTGTTTTTGTTTTAATAAATAAACCTTCAGAATTACATGACACATGTTCGACAAATATTTTATATATATATATATATATATATATATATATATATATATATATATATATATATATATATATAAAAGAGGGAAAAAGAGACTTAGAAATTTTGTAATTTTTTAGAAGAAAAAGGCTTGTAATTATTAAATCTTTATTAACATGATGCAGCAATTATATTTCATATGACCATTATGCCGCATAGGCCATTAATGGGTCACACCAAAGATGAACTACAAACTTTTTTCTCAGTGACAAGATTAACCATATGAACCTTTTTAAAGCAGAAAACGATCTTTCAACTCATGGAGTTCGAAAAGGAAAAAAAAAATCCTGGAATCAAGAAAGCATCAACAAGAATTAGTATCAGAGGGAAGAGAAAAGGGGGATCCCCGGCAGAGTGACACCTGCGTCGACAACGAAAATGTTGCCGGAAACATATGCCGAGGAGTCATGCATCAGGAAACGAACAATTGATGTCAATGCTGGATCTAATGTGCCATATGTTCTTAGTGGAACTGTTCTTTCAGCCACCTTGTTCAGCCATTCTCTCTTCATCAGGCCATCAGTTATCTCGGACTTGAACAGTCCAGGCGCTATGGAGTTCACACGAATGTTAAAAGCACCCAGCTCCAATGCCATCACCTGTTTGCCAAAGACAACTTTGTCAGCTACCATTAAGACACCAACAGCAGCACAAAAGAAGGCTTTTTCAACAACACAGAAGTGTCATAATTGAAACAAAGGATTACATGAGTCAATGAAAACCACAAATTAGATCTGAAGAAGAAAACATGTGTAATATAATATTTGGATCTCGAAATGACAAGTGACACTAACACATGGAGTCCATATCCATATTAATAGTCTGCTTTTTTAGCTGCCATGGTACAGAGCATATGCAATGCAAGACAAACATGGGAAATTTAGGGTTCTAGCAGTCGAATTACCTTAGTAACTGCGTTAACACCTGTCTTTGATGCAACATAAGCAAGCCCACCAGGTAACTGGCCACGTTCAATGCCACCAATAGATGATATATTGATCACGGATCCTTTCTGTTTTGCATCACGCATGTGTTTGCAGACATGTTTGGAAACCAGCCACAATCCAGTCAAATTTGTTCTGATATTGCTACTCCACTCCTCCTCGGACCAATCTAATGGTGAGTGCACATCACCTGAGAAAGAGACAGCATTTCAGCGATGTAGAATCGAGCAGGCAAACAACCAATCAAATTAAGGTATAAGATTAAATTCAGATATGTATCATCATGTAAAAGAAGAAGATTAAATTCGCAAACTCTTGTACTTGGTGAAATTATTGAAGAAACTTACAAGTATCTAGAAATCTGAACCATCAAAGAAATCTATAAATCCCCCCTTCCTCAGGTGCAAAACAATTTAATGTGATACCGATACCATAAGATTATGATATGCAAATTGGAAATATGGCTAGTTAGAAACTTATATACTATTTCCAACATCTTGTTTATTGCTCTGAGAATATCATACCCAATTTTAACATCATTTTCCGCAAGTAGGTATCAAAAGGAGAATAGAAGGAATGATTAACTGAATGTTTTGCAGCGTCTAATCTTAACAAAAATAATCCTTGAAAGGGAAACATATCATGCAGGAAAAAGTCATCTGATACTAGTAGTTCAAAGTCAGTTGTAATTCATTTTGCAAGGGAAGAATATCTTCTCACTCGCAGATACATTCAGTTATCACAATGTTTGACTCATATGTTGAAATAAGGCCAGGAAGTCTGCTATACAAAAGTATTTACGGTTTAATTCATGTTAAATATGGGGTTCCTGACACCAGCATCTCAAAAACTATCTTAGAGAAGAATTACAACATTCCGTAGTGATCATAGGACATACCAAGATTTAAAAAAGAAGAGATAGATAAAGAAATCAAGCCTTCAACATTCTGAGCAAATTTCCCAATCTGATGCCCCAAATTAATATAAGATTCATTCAGTAATTCTATTAGTTGCATAGCACAACAACAAAAAGAAGAAACAATGTCCATATACATCTTCATAGAAAATCTCATGATTAAGGGATTCTAAATCCCATAACTAAAGGATTTTATAATCCCATAATTAATAAAATAAATTATTATCATAATTAAGGGATTCTTAATTAGTATCAAATCAATTCATATTATAGGAAATAAATTAGAATAAAATATTATATAAAATTATTAGAATCAATTTTCTTAGTTGTATAGATTATAATCAGTCCATATACATCTCCCTTTTATATACATAGAAGACCAATGAATAAAAAAAATTATATTCTGGTTTTCCATCTCCTCTTTCTTTCTCTAGTCTTTCACACTATTCGCATTGGCACAAGTCTAATTCCAATGTAATTATCTATGATACATTGTATGGATACTGTATAGCACTGTTCTATGGCCATCTCTCCTCTAACATTATGGACATAAATGCAATGTTTCCGGTGATGAAAGCCATAATGTTCCTTTGTTTATTCGAAAGAGAAGAAACAGAAGACTTATTTTGAGTTTGGAAGAGAGAGAGAGAGAGAGGTGTTTTTAGTTTGTCGTTTCACAATTGCCAAGACAGAGACTCTCCGAGATGTTTCGTTAGCACTAACTTTTTGGCCATGCCTACAACAACTCAGGAAAAAGTATTGGACACGATCAACTACTCCAAAAAACTATCAGACGTGCCGTAGGTTTGAGCATCAAATTGTGGACCAAAGATGATCGGTAAACAGGTTTCTTACCGAAGAGAAGAAGAGAAATGGTACCTCGAACTCCGGCATTATTCACCAACCCATCGATCCGGCCAAACGCATCCCACGCCCTCTGCACGGAGGCGGCGATGGCCGGTTCATCCGCGCTCACATCGAGTTCGACCGCCACCGATCGGACGGCGGATGGCTCCGACGCTCCGGATCCGTTGATCTCCTCGCAGAGGGACCTCAATCGGTCGGTCCGCCGCGCTGCCGCGATGACCCGGCAACCGGCCTTCGCGAGGTCGAGGCACAGGTCTCGGCCGATGCCGGAGGACGCGCCGGTCACCATGACGACCTTGCCCTCTAAGCTCCTCCATGGCATGAGCCCCGGCGTCCGTTTCGCCGCCTCGTTTACCGCCTCCGCCATGGTTGGATTTCGAGTCTGCGAAGGACACATATATATAGCAGTGTGAGAAGGAACAGCGTGGCAATTTCCTAGCAAATTACGATGATTGCCGTATTTCGGAACACGTGGTTGACCTGTGGTCAAAATTGACCGAAGTCTTAATCTAATAATACAGAAGACAGTGGGAACTAAAGGGAATGTCAAGTGAAAGTTTTCCTTGGTATGAACGCTTACCTTACCGATTCAACATTCAACCAGGATTGATTCTTGTGTTCTTTTTCCTGTTTAATATGTTGGCGAACGCTTCTGAAAACACGTTGGCTCCCAACCAGCCCCACACTTCACTCATCGTTTCCTGAGGGATGCACGATATAATTAAAATTATGAAGAGTCATTCCAAAATAATTAAAATTATATTAAAGTTTATAAGTCAAGTAAAAAATAATTAAAAATGTCGAAAACTTCCTTTAAGATTAAACCGGAAAGTTATACACGTGCGGTCAAGCTCCTAAATAATCATTCTCTTTCTCTGAAGTGTTTGATTGATATTGAAATCCACCGAGTCGCAATCAGTAACACGTGAGTCACACACACATCGCCCAGGCCGAAGGCCATGAAGAAGCGCATTCACGAGAGCACCTGGCTTGCAGTCCAGTATATGTGGGGCCCTACGCTTTAGCGGACTTGGCGAGAACATACCAAGGCACCAATTTCTTGACTTGGAAGTCCGTAATCACAAAGCTTAGCTTAGGGCCACAACTAATTGTAATTACCCGGCATTTGGGAGTTAATTATCGACCGGTTAAATGAATGCGGAGCACAAACCAAATCCCATCCTCGGGTTAAGTTCGCACCCCAAGAACACGAAAAACAAATATAAAGAGAAAACAAGAATAGGTGTGTCACGTCACAGCTATTCGAGTCTTAATTTAGGTGATGCTCCGCACTAACGCACCTCACTTCCGCCCTCGCTTCCTGGAACCCGGCGGCGCCCGGGCCTCCGTATGCCCCTTCGCCCTCTTCCCCGGACGGAGAGTAGATGGAGACGCTGCCCGTTTCGGTGGCCGCCCCACGCTCCTCTTCGCCGGACCGCTTGTATCCGCCACCTTCTTCGTGGCGGATTCAACGCGAATGGCACCAGTCCCTTGACGGGTTCTCTGATCCTTCCCTCCGATACTCCTTCCACGCTTCCTCTGTATTTCCGCAGCTTTTCCGCCGACGCCGCCTCCTCTGGAGGACGGACTTTTGAGCGTCTCCTTCACGGTCCCCTTGGAGCTCCGCTTGATCTGGTTCGGCGAGTTGTCCTGCCGTTTCTGCTTTTCCAAAGCAGCCGTTGAAGCGACAGAACCATCACTCTTCCTATGTGATGTTGCTGCTGCGTCCACAACCGCCGCGTTCTGGACGGGTCTGGTCTTAACATTTGGAACTACAGCAACACTAGGCCTCTTAGCGGCGGGACCTTCTCCTGCATGGCCGCTGCGGAGCTTGTTGGTCCTCAATCCCCTTGTCTTCCTCGAAAGCACGTTTGTTTCTTTATTCACCTTCTTCTCGAGGGCGGCCTTCTCCTCGTTGACGGACTCCTCCGGTTCTGTTTTTGGCGTCTCCTCTTTCTCCTCCTCGACCTCCTCAGACACGTTCGACGTAGAGCTTCGCGTCCGGCAAGCGATCAGAGGTGCCGCTGTCGTCGGCTTATCAGGAAGAGAAGCAGTGAGGTCCAGATCTGGCGTTGGAGACGGAGTGGGTTCTATCGGCGGCCGTGATGACGGTGTGGGAGGCCCAACGCAGACGGAAATCTCTTTAGTGACTTTGTCACGGAGACGAGCAGCGGCGATGGATTCGGGACTGTCTTTGGGGTGAAAGACAATGACGTTGGTGCAGAGCAGCAGCAGATCGCGCAAGAACTCCGCGGTCGTGTACGAACCACCTTCCTGACCTAAGCCGTCCACCTTGGCACGCACCATCTCTAGATCCACGTGTCGCCGTATCAGACTGTGATATCTGACGGTTTCCTGTGGATATCCAAAATAAAACATTATTTTTTTTTTCGAACCATAGAAAAAAAAATAAAGGACGATATATTTCTATATACAGTCAAATCGTTACACGCAAGCACGCGAACCCAAAAAGTCAATGTTGGTGAGGAGTTACGACCCACCACCTTCAGGTTCGGAACTGCTCGGCCCACACGTTAAGCAAACAAACAAACACTAATATGGCATTTTGTGAATTCTGCAGCAGCGGAAACCCAGACAAACTTCAAGAAAGATTCCCGGAACCAAAAACAAAAATCAAGATCCCCGTAACCATTAAATTTCCATCCAAATCAGAGAGGCAGAAGTCTTTGTTGGTCATTTCCTTTAACATGCTTTAGCTTGTTGTAATATATTAGCCAAGTCAATTCAAGGCAGCATTGTATTTAAAAAAGAAGTAAACTTGGAGCATCTTTGTCTGGTTCGTTCATTCTTAGATCTCAATCATACTCGTGATGTTCAAAGGTCTGTATATCTCAATCAACCAAATGATCGATTAGATCAGAACGTCATAAACCACAATCAAGTTAGTTTCCATAAAAGCTTAAGCATTTCGAGTTCAGCAACGCAGTAAAGTATATCTTTGGGCAAAAAGGCGCACATCGCATATCGAATGATAATGACAATTCTCGCTTAGAGGACGAGAATGAATATGCGTTTACCTCGCCTTCATGCCAAAGCGATACGTTACCCGACGTCCATTCAAATCAAAACCAAGAGGGGGAGGCGAGAAATCGGGGATAATTACCTGGCAGCCGAGCCGACGCTCCAGAATTGACACCTGTTGATCTGATCGAATCGTGTCAAGGAACATCATCAACGGCTCAGATTCAGCAGCGACCCGCTTGCCCATGATGATCGACTCCTCTGCGGCACCCGCGTCCGCATCCGCATCCGCCTCCTCTCTGCTGTTGCAGCCGCCGGGGATTAACCTCCTCCGCCGTCCCCTACGCCGCCTTGAGGGGCTCCTCGAACACTGCACGTCGCTGCCCTCCTTCTCACCCTCCTCCTCCTCCTCGCCCTTGGATTCGGCCACCATCGACTCGCCCGACTCACCCGCCGGCAGCCGCTCCACCGGATCGGCCGACTCGCCGCCGGTTCCAACGGCTTCCTCCGCTTTTCCATCATCTCCATCGAGTTTCTTCTCGCCTTCCTTTGGAAGAGTCGAGTTGGACTCCCCGCAGGAGCGGCCGGAATCCTTACCGGAGATCGCATCACCGACGGCAGCCTCCGGCGTGTGACTCGCCGAGTTGCCCGCCTCCTTCTCCTGATCCGGTTTTTCCTCGACGGATTCCGTCTCCCTCAAGCTCCGTTCGCGCTCTTCTTCCAGCCTTTTTACCTTTAGTTGCAAATATCTAAAATATACAAATAATTAAAAAAAATTTAAATATATCCAAGATCAAGCGCTCAGATGCGCCTGATCCTGATCTAACGGCAGATAAAACATAATCCTATAAATTGAGAAAAATGAAAAAACACCGTAAATTGTTATTTAATTACCCGATCGACGCATCGTAGCGTTCGACATCGCGGCGGAGCTCGGCGACTCGAAGCTTCCGGAGCTCCTCGACCCAGGGCACCTCGACAGATGAGCCAGCCTCCTCGCCTTCGTCGTCCTCGTGTCTGCCTTCTTCGCCGCCGGAACCGGCGAACCGTAGCTTCAGGTCGCGGTACCGCCGGCGGCAGCTCTGGGGGGTTAACAGGTGCGAGAAGGGGCTCCGGGACTGGATCTCCATGGCGACAGAGTCCCAACTCCGGGTACCGTGGCGGTTAACAGCGAAAGCTAGGAGGAGCTCTTCCCACGTTCCCCACACCTCTCCCTCGGGATGACCGGGGCTCTCCATCGTCGCCGCTCGCAAAACCCGACCGCCACCGTCGTCTTCACTCCGCCGCTTCGAAGTCTAGGGTTTGATCTCTTCCCCTTCCCTCTTTCTATTTCTGTTCTCTGGTTTTGGCTTGGTATTGTTCAATTTCTTTTCATTTGGGGTCCCATTTAAATTAGACTTGAAATTCATTTAAATTAGACTTGAAATTTAATCTTCCGTCTTTCATTCAAGTTACCAAGTCATGGGATTCATTGGCCCTAATCATGTTAATCCCCAGCGAGCGGAGGGGAGGGACTTGATTCGGGTCTTCTAATTTCTCGTTGACGAAAATACCCCCCACTCTGTGGTCCGGTTCATTTTGTCTTTCGTGTCGTGAGGATGGGTTAGGTAAAGGGTCTCGGGTAGGCTTTTGGTTTAGGTGGAAGGGGCGATCATCACCGTCTGATTGGGTCTAATCTTGGATCCCGGATGGATGCCGGTTTCTGCGGAGATGATCGGCTGGATGGCCGCTTTCATACGACATCTTTTGAGATGATCTGCTGCTATCTACATCGGACTCTGATGTCATGTCTGACGCACGCATCTACGGGCAAATAGACTCACGCGTTGGACCCTTGCAGGAGAAAGTAATGGCCACCAATGCAGCAACTTAGTCGGAGCACATTAGTGCGTGATTTCCCCAGCTATACTTGGTTAAATGATTCGACGTGGAAAATGAGCAATACCGACCAAAATGCGGGTCATCTCGATGATAGATACACTGGGCGCACGATCTTGTGTGACAACCGTGTATTTTAGATCCGACGGCTCTGCAGCCGTGGACCGATAGAATCAGTTCTAGTTGTTATCAGGCTTGACCAGGGAAAACCAAAGAACTTGATGACTAAAATCCGGCACCATTCAACGACTTAAGTGCATGCAACTCATGCTGTTCAACACGTGCATTCAACTTCCTCATAGATGGTGAGTTTTGGGACGCCTTCCAGGAAACAGAGAAGCCGAATCGCATATATTCTTGACAGTGCTGGAGTTGTAAGTTCAGTAATAATTATCATACATGTGTGTTTGCCCAATGCCAGGTGCGTATGCAGAACCTTATTAGTTCCTTGCTGATATGCTTTTATTCGATGCCTTTTAATTCACTTGTCCAACGCTTCAAAGGACAGCTTTTCACCTCTGGATCGCATCAGGCAAAATCCAGAGGGTTCTACGGCACGGAACACCGCTCTCCGGCCTCCTATTAGTTAAAGGAGGTGGAGTGTCGATGGAATGCACTCTGAACTTTTAGATATGGAATATTGTAGAAAGAAAAGATATCACTCATCTTCTATAAGCTAATTAATAAATTAGCTTCATCATTGTTTAATATTTTTCCTTTTCTGTTCTCTTGGATCCTGGATTTGCTGAATTACTACCTTCATCTCGAAGTAAAATGATGGTAGAGAGGTGGGTGGGTGATGTATCTTTCTACCGTATTGTAGCCGGGGAACCAATAAATGATCGAATCACTTTCTTCTAACACGGACAACAGATAAGTAGTTTTACTCGCGCGACATATAATTCACCATTTAATATGATTAGATTGATCTAAAATACTTATCCTATCAAAAATAGTATTTACATAAAACACGACTTCATTACAAACAGTCATCATGTACACAAAACAAGAAACGATAAAGAAGGAAATACTAAGGGGCTATTATAAACAAAATACACCCCAAAATCCAAGTCTCCTTCCAACGCCAGGGGGCGGGCTTAGATACCGCCACCGGTGGATCCCATCACCAAAGCTTTCTTCAGCTCCTTCTTGACGTCCTCAGGCGCCGCTTTGGCGGGGTGCTCTGGCGCCTTCTCATCGCCACGTCGAGCTCTTTTACCGGCCGGCGCCGCAAAATTAGACCTGCCCTTGCTGTCGTCTTCCCCGCTTGCAGCGGGCGAAGCCGCCTTCCACCCGCCGACCTCCGCACGGAGCTCTTCTACGGCCCTCCTCAGTGTCCCATTCTCCGCCTGCAGCGCCTCCAATTGCCGCCTCATGGACGAACGCTCCTCCAGCAACTCGCCGTCGCTGCCCTTCTTCTCGGTCGCAGGAGCGTCCCTGCCGTTGGGCCCGTGCTCGATCGAGATCTTGCTCATCACGAGGAGGGGAAGCTTGGCGAACGAGATCCCGGCCGCTGGATCATGGAATGCGGTGCGGAGCTCTGGCGTTGCTCTCAGTCCCCACTTGAACTTGACGGCGGTGTGGCTTCGTAAGGGGAGGACGCTAGTCGTGCTGACCTCGAAACCTGAGACGAGCCCGTGAATCCCATCTCCGAAGCCGTTCGCAAGGAACCGGTTCTCTCCTCCGAACCCCACAATCGGGGTCTCGGCGCCGTTGACCAAGCCGTCGCCTTCCGTGCCTCCGAGGGGGTCGAACTTAGCCGCAGCGGCTGCCGAGGCGGCGGTGGAAGAGACAGTCTTCTTTACAGCGAAGTCCCCGAAGCGGGGCTTGAAGAGGATGGAGAAGGAGGGGCCGGCAGAGCCGGGGCGGGCGAGAAGGCCGAACTCGGCGGCCATGGAGAAGGGGGCTCCCATGGCAGGCGAGCCAAGGGGGCCGAGGCCGGTCTTGAGAACGAGAGAGAAGGGGGCGGCGGGGTCGTTCGGACGGTAGGAGAGGCGGAGGGAGGGGCCGGAGGCAAAAGCGGTGGAGAGGTCAAGGCGGAGGTGGCGGACATCGTCGAGGGCGGCGGCGAGGCCAGAGAGGAATGGGAGGCCCAGGATGCTGACGGGGACCTTGGCCCGCAGTAAGGGCTGGCGATCCTCCCGGAACTTGAGGGACGCCTTCATCGATAAGGTCGATGACGGCGACTCGACTCTATGATTCACCGCTTCTTCTATTATTACGAAGCTTCGATTTAGTCGCCGATTGCAGGAACAGCACGCAGCTCGTGATCGAGGTTAGGGTTTTGGCAAATGAGGGAAGGGAGCATAATGACGAGGGGGGCACGGTTGGAATTACATTTCTTTTCGTTTCACCCGACGACGTTTGTTGGAGGGTTTGCGTTTTTTCTCGGGTTAGCAGTTCAATTGGATGTTTCACGCCAGAGGGAGCAGTTGTGAAATAGAAAAGCGAAATTTAGGTGTGTGTGTCACGGTTTCCGTATGAAGCGCTTAACAACGAAACTCCCCGTCAGCATCTACGTTTTGGGCCGAATAGAAGGAGGACCCATGGTGACAAAAAGTGGATGCCGCCATGATCCATAAAACCCAACCGTACTCATGTAATCAAATCATTAAATTAAAATATAATGATTTTTTTAGCTAATAAAATTAAAAAAAAATAAATATTTAACATTTCAAATTGAGTTATATTATTTTTATCAATAAATTAAATATCAATAAATATAATAATTAAAAAAATAACCTTAGGTGGAGGACTCACCTTCCTCCTATTTAGGGGAGAGATTGATTTATTTATTTATTTACGTCAAAACCTAACAGTATGAGAAACAAAAAATTGTCCTCCTTAGAGATAGATTTCTTTGTCTTTCATGAAAAATAATTTTTTTTTTATTTTTAGATTAAAATATTTTTATAATTATTTATGATATACTTATTTTTTAAAATAATTCTTTTAAGGATTTACAATTTTATTTTTGAATTAAAATATATTATAAGTATCCATGCTATATATAGTTTTTATAATCTTCTTATATTCCTTCATTTGTTTAAAATTATTTTAATTATAATTATTCATGTTATATGTAATTTCTAAAAAAAATTTCTTGCATTCTAGTTGTAATATTTGATTTATATTAGATTCATATAATAGTTAGTTAAAAATATTATTTTTTATATAATTTTATTTTTAATATACTATTATTTATTATATTGTAATGACTCATGTTAATGATCAGATATTTTGATTATAATTCTATGGTACTATAATTCAAAAATAAGAGAATTGATTAGTATTTTGGGTTAAAATTAATTCGTAGGCCAAGCATAACTTGTACACTAGGCTTAGCATAGGTCAAACCCTAGTCCACAAGATAACTCAACTTAGCCCAATATAAATAATCATGTGCAATACATATGGTCAATCCATAAGCTATGGGTTCACTTAACTTCGTATATGTAGTGCACATAACTTATTGCTATGTAATCTAGCTCATTGTCTTTACTTTATTTACTTTAGGCCCAAAGCATTAATTGAATCAAATCATATTTGATAAATTTAGATTAATTCATGATGATTCCAAATTTGATTTATTTAAGTTTATTTAACCTAAATTAAACCTAATATTGTCTAAAATATACCAATTTATAGTAGTTTAAAATTAGTTAAATGAGAATTAAAAATTGATTCAGTTATGTTATAGTGAAATCTAGTTTAATTAGATTGAATGAACTATTGTTCAAATCAATTGAGACGTTGATATTATTTGACATTAATGATGTTTAAAAAGATATATTTAGATGTTTTAATATATTATTTCATTCCAATGTGGATATAACTGGTATGAGATGATTTTGTTTACCTGGTTAAGACATGTAGGATGATTTCTTTTGAGGATTAGTAGAGCATCAAATGTGATGATTGGACAGTTACTCTATTCGTTATTGGGATGAATGTGTCACTACTTTAGTAGGTAAGAGACATTACTCCATTCATTGAGAGTGTGATATGGATTTATCTCTATCCATTGTTAAGAATATATAAACTCGTACGGTATGATAAAAGCTCTCCGTCTATTATTGGAAGAGTGCTCTTTTGGACATTTGAATATATTAGTGGGAATGTTTGACTCTAGTATTTATTTTACAAATGCTTTACATGGGTTTCTACTCAACGGTATTAAAATATTTTTAGTTTTATATTTTATTTTTAAAGTAGCCTATCAGTAGTAGTAGATTAAATTACAATGCAAAGTAGATCTTTTTCTACCATCGGGTAAAGTGAATAAAACCTATAGCTACTTTTAACTTATATTTTGATGAATAAATTAATTATAATAAATATTTTTAATTTATAAATATTAATAAAATGATGTTTATTTATTCGACTCTTGATGTACCTATGGAACGATATTGTGATCTTATAAAGAAAAAAGAATCCAGAATATAACATCCATCAACCTATGAAAGGTTGAGGATTTAAAATCACATTCGAGATATGTGTTGGCTCTTCCATTGCGTCGTTTCGCTCGAATATTTCTTTTATACGTTGATTTATTTTATTATTTTTCCTTCTGATACTAAGTTAGCAAGTTTGTCAGACTGGTCAAACAAGTTTTGAGTTTAAGTCTACGTACTAGGATGCACACACCTATTAAACCTCTTTTATAGTAGATTCATGTAACCATTATAATCAGATGTGGGGATGCCGATCTCGAATGTAATTGTCGCCATTTCGCATGCTATGACATGTAGTGCCGGTGCATGATGAAAGATAATTGATCGGCAGGGTGGATGAAAGATAATTGATTAGTAGGGTGGAACGAAGAGGAATCATCCAATATTAACATATTGACCACATGACATGAGATGTCAACCATATAGTATCAAGATATCGGGCACCTGACGTAAAGTGTCAACCACATAGTGTCATGATGTTAGGCACAAGACACAAGGTGTCGGAGATATCAACTAATATCATGATGTTGGCTACGTCAACTTTCCCCTAACACTATTGTGTGACTGACACATATGAGTCGTAGGTGTGGGTGGTAAGGGATGTGAAACGGACATCCCTTCTTTCTTAAGAGTCTTGCCCACAACGAGCTTGTCACGCATCTGTAGGGCAGCTTTAATCTGCCAGCCCGACGCGTGTTTTGGAGTTGCTCGCTCGCTCGTCGATGTTGCTGTTGAATTCCCGGAACAGGAAACCCCCGGCGAAGCTGAAGGAATACAACTTCGCAACGCGAGTGCTACTGGTCAGGTAATCGGAGGAAGGTTTCATTCAGAAGCAACCTTAACAGTTGAGAACACCCTAAACAGTTACGTGGGGCAACCATGCATCCACAAATCTGTTCTGAAGCTTCATCTGTGAGGGAGACGTTTGCACTTATGGCTGCAAGTCGGAGACGTACAACAGAGAGGAACGATCTTCTATCATAGCATGAACTCCCAAGAGGGGTAAAGCTTCGTGGATCGAGATCTACCCCCAAAGTTTCACTTTTGATCAAGACGCCTACCCATTCTGGAAGAATTTGGGCTCCTCCTAAATATTCTCCGACGAGCGAGAGCGCATTCAGCTGTTTTGAGAATTACGATTGCATGAAGAACGTGCTCAACCACTGTTCACCACCCAAACTTCGTCAGGCTTCCGAAGAATTTAGCAGTCTTTGATGAAGAATGGTAAGCTTCTAGTATGCATTTATGCACCAGGTTGACAACCACAAAACGTAGGGTTAAGATAGAGAGAGAGAGAGAGAGAGAGAGAGAGAGAAGAGGGGAATTGCACTGCGAGGAAAGCTTGCTACTGTGAGAAACAACAAGCGACAAGAAATAGGCCGATAACCAAGTCATTGTTGATAAGGATGGATATAAAAGGTCAAAACAGGCGTAGGCGAATCGCACGGGATTGGAGAACAACCCATTTTGTGCCATCAAATTTTGCTGTCTTTTTCATGACGGGATAGAACTGAGAATGGCATACCAACTACGAGAAGAGTAGTCCAAGTCGTAAAGGTCCGGAAAAGCCGCAGCACATTCACTTGTTGCCATGCAAACTCTCGCAGCAACCCTACAGCTACGAACAGGTTTCTATAACCTCTTGTTTCTCCATGCCATTTCTGCTGTCGACCATACCCTCCGATTCATTGTTCCAGGGGCAATGCTCGCCCAACAACATGCTGATCTTTGGTGAAGTAGAACGTAAATAGCTTGGTCGATTTGGCAATACGGCCTGCCCGGAAGCGTAGCCCGCAGAATCCTATGCCTCAGAATCTAAATATGACGACAAAGATTAGATACATAACATTGCGAATTGAGTTGGCGATCTATTAGAATTAGAGCGATCGTGTAAACTATATCTCACGTGATCCACCACAGTCCATGCTCTTAGTACTTAAAGTAGCTTAAATCTTCTGCAGCAGCCCCTCGGTAACACGTTCTGGACCAAAAGGACTGCTACGCCTGGTGGAGCTTTTCTGCCATGTTCCCCAGCTGACATTGGTTTGCCCCGTGACTAAGAACAAAACTGTGGGCTGTGCAGACTATCTTCAGTCGGCTCGTCCTCCAGCGTCTCACAGAACGAGAGGGAGATGCGACACGAGACGGTAAAGATCATAAATAGTAAATGAATCAGCATCGTTCATAGCGTGAAACAGATCCTCATGCACGGGCGGGCGTGGCAGAGATCACCGCGAGGAAATGATTTTTCTATCCTTAGGAGGGATAGCCTAGCAGTGGGTGAGATGGGGGTGTTCCTGGTACTTCGTCGAATCACGGTATGTTTTTTGACCTTCAGATCTTGGTCGAATCCCCAGGGAAACTGACGGTCATGATCTGGAGGATCGAGAGTCCGAGGAAGCGTGCCGGAGTATCCAATAAATTGACGCCACACGGGACGTGAAGCGATAAAGGAGGCAGCGGCTGCCATAAGACGCCAGCGTGGTTTCTTTCCATTAGGATTGGGAGAAAGAGGCGGAGGAGATGCCTATAAAGGCGCCGCGGAGAGAGCGTAGTATTCTCCTCCTCGGGCGGCAGAGAACGCTGAAGCACAGAGGAATTGCCCTCACCAGTAGTAAGTAGTTCCCGTCTCAGGTACATGAAAACAAATGTTTTCTCTGTTAGATTTCGTGTCCTCTGTTGGATCTTGAGATGAATGAAATGTTGATTCTGTGTCTCGCTCATATGGTCTCTATCTCGATGACGCTGTTTGAGATTGTCTTTTGCCGTCGTAAGACGTACACTGTTTACCCCTTCCGTTCCATGCACAGTGTCTTCTAGCTTTTAGTTTGGAGACGGAGGAAACGATATTTATCCTCTTATTGAAATTAATGTACCCAACCGGGAGTAAGATTGCGTGATCCGCTTCAATTGATTAGATGTGCACGTCTTTTGTTTTCACTAGATTTAAGTAGAAGAGGAGGAAGCCTTTTGATTTGCGAGGCAATTTCCAGCTTCATGGCATCTATTTCGAGCTGGCAGCATTTATTCGATTCTCCCTTTAACAAAGGAGGTATACGGATGACTGCGTCGCAGGTGAGCCCATAGCAGCAGCAGCAGGAGGAGGAGGCGGACGCATGACGGTGAAGGAGGAGCCCTTCCACTTCCACTATGGCTGCGGCGACAACGGACTCCAACGATCGCCAACTGAGAAGCCCGCCTTCACCCTTGGGCAGATCAAAAAGGCGATTCCCCCTCACTGCTTCGAGCGCTCCATCCTTCGCTCCTTCTCTTACCTCGTCCACGACCTGCTGTTCGCGGTCCTCTTCCTTTACTTCGCCGTCGCCGTCATGCCGAAGCTCCCGTCCGGCCTCGCCCTCGCCGCCTGGCCCCTCTACTGGGTCCTCCAAGGCTGCATCCTCATCGGGGTTTGGGTCATCGCTCACGAGTGCGGCCACCACGCCTTCTCCGACTACTCCATCCTCGACGACGTAGTCGGTCTCGTCCTCCACTCATCCCTCCTCGTCCCCTACTTCTCCTGGAAGTACAGCCACCGGCGCCACCACTCCAACACCGGCTCCATTGAGCGCGACGAGGTCTTCGTCCCGAAGCCCAAGTCCGCCCTCTCGTGGTTCACCAAGTACCTCAACAACCTCCCCGGCCGCGTCCTCACCCTGGCTATCACCCTTTCCCTCGGCTGGCCGCTGTACCTTGCCTTCAACGTCTCCGGTCGTGCCTACCCTCGCTTCGCCTGCCACTTCGACCCCTACGGGCCCATCTACTCGGACCGCGAGCGGGGCCAGATCTTCATCTCCGATGCCGGCATCGTGGCGGCCTCCTTCGTCCTCTACCGCGTCGCCGCCAGCTACGGTTTCTGGTGGCTGGTCCGGGTGTACGGCGTGCCGCTCCTGATCGTGAACGCCTGGCTGGTCATCATCACCTACCTGCAGCACACGCACCCGTCGCTGCCCCACTACGACTCGAGCGAGTGGGACTGGCTCCGGGGTGCGCTGGCGACGGTGGACAGGGACTACGGGGTACTCAACAAGGTGTTCCACAACATCACGGACACCCACGTCGCCCACCATCTCTTCTCCACCATGCCACACTACCACGCCATGGAGGCGACCAAGGTCATCAAGCCGCTTCTGGGCGAGTACTACCAGTCCGACGACACGCCGCTTTTGAAGGCCATGTGGAGGGAGGTGCGGGAGTGCATATACGTGGAGCCGGACGAGGATAGTAAGCAGAAGGGCGTGCTGTGGTATCGGAACGAGTTCTAAGTCGACGGCTCTGCTCGGGAGAAGATGGCTACGTTGTCGTGTTTACCTTTGCTTCCTCCTTAGTCGCTAATTTAGCGATTGATATGGAATTTCCATGTATCTTTCCAAGTGATACGCCTAATTTATGAGCGTATCACTGCAGCCGGCATTGCCTATGTTCGAAGCGTGTACGAAAATGGTTTGCATTCATGACGTGCGCACTGAACAGTAGAAATCATTGATAGGTAGATGATGGGGTTTGTGAAGTAGTCGTAATTTGGAGTACTTAACCTATTAGCTTAGTTGGGCAAGCAAGTACAACCTACAAGGAAAAGTCTAGTTAAACACCCACCACATGGTTGACGTGCACTAAGCCTACCTATCTTCATCGTCGTCATATTCACTGCACTTGTGGTCCTCCCTATAGGTTGGCATCGAGCTCTGGCGACGTTGGCCCAGAATTTGTTCGTGTTCTGGTTGCGGTGCTACATGAAGAGAGAGAGAGACAGAGAGAGAAGGCACTGGTGGCAGGTCACCACTGAGGGGGCTATTGATGACAGTGTGAGAGACCGTACTACAATTCTTGGAATAGTTGGTTACCTATCACAAACAAAAGAATTAAGTAGTCGATGGTCCCCTATCACAAACAAAATAATTTGAACGGATGACCAATAATTATAAGAGTCTAAAGTACCAAAATACATACATACATAAATATATACATATATATATATATATATATATATATATACATACATATACATATATACATACACATACACATACACATACACATACACATACATATACATATACATATATTGCATCACACCGGATGAAAAAATTAGTTCGATAGCAAAAGGAAATTGTTCCATCTTCATTATCATGAAACTGGTGGTTCACATGCCTCGAGGGGCAAGCAATCAAGGCAAAAAGAAACAACAAAAGGCAAAATGCACATCGCACGAATAAAATGAAAAACTACTAGTCACTATATCATATCACCTTTGATATATATCGTCAATTTTACGAAATACATGAACACATGAATGATTTCTATGAAATATCCTCGAAATATTTTAAGTGGGGGCAATAACAGAGGAAACTGTTTCATACTTTTTTTTATTCCATTAACTGCAAAGTACTTCATTTTCTTAGCTGCTACTCCATGGGTATGGTGGTCTTACTGTGTCATGGATGACAAATAGTGTAGCTAGGCACTAGCATGTAGGTTACGAGAAAATTGAACCAAAGAATTCAGATGCCTCAATAATTTAAAACTTCATGATACTTGAATACGCAATCATAAAGCCTTCCTCCCAAGAACTGAGCAACCTCTGGGTGCTTCACCTGCCAAAGTTAAAAAGGCCCAGTCACTGCCATCAACTGTATTCAAGCTAATAACCTTAATAGAGAAAAGCATGAGATCTCAGAATATGAATGAGAATAAATGCAAAAGGGTTAGTTAATAATACCATTCCAATCTTGATGGAATCACACTTCAGTTGAGCATAAAGGTTTGTCTCTATCGCCCTTCCCTGAAAATTGAAAAGAAAAGGAAAATAGAGTAGAGATGCTACATTTCACATTTGTTGTACATCCTAAAGACAGCTTACCATTCCCTCCAATATGACTAGGTCCGCATCACTTGCAAGGTATGCCAGATCTGGTGATACATTGCTAAGGTCAATAACCTGAAGTACAATACAACTCCATATCAAACAATATGATTACCTCCTAGACAATGGCTATTTTCCTTAGAAATAAACCAAGAGGTGCAATGTTTTCACCATCTTACCGGTAAATCATTACCAGAATTGGCAATGAGAAGGCCAGAAGCATCCACTCCCATGAGTTGCCCATTTTCATCCTTCAGCTGTTAAACAGTGAATATAAATATCAGAATCAATCCACTCATAGAAACAAGATGAGTCAAGCAATCCTCTCTATCACCTTTGAAATAATCTCAACCAATTCAGGGTATGTAACATCATTGATTGAAGGCAAGTCATTAGCTGCTAGAACTACCTGAGCAAACAAAAGAAACTGGCATCAGGAAGATGACCACATAAAGGATTCTTTGTGAAAATCTGAGAAGGAAAATTCAAATTGTATATTTGATAAATAAAACCTTGAAAAGAAGCAGTAACACAAAATTCATTCAAGTTCATTTTAATTAGACAGCAGAAAAATTGACAGACAGGCAATCTCTTAATCTTTAATTATGTTGGACATCTAAAAGCCAAAGTATAAAATCTAACAGCAAGAACCAGGTTGTTCCTCAGATCTAACCGCAAACAGTACAATCTTTACCCATGGCCTTGTTTCCAGTTACTCTTATCTCTATAGACAATGCTGAAATGGTCTCAAAGACCAGCTATTTTTTCTTTCCTAGGCACAATCTCACAACATCATGCTTGTGATATTTTTTGCTGACAATGATTTAAACTCATTCAGATTCATAATAAAGCAAATCACCCTCATAATTAACATATAACTGATTGTCACTTTTTTTCTGGTACCCCGTAGTCCATACTTTTGTTGCTTTGATAAGGTTTATAAAATATGTTGAATACAAGGATATAGCTCTATTCAAGCATGCAAGGAATAACTTGCATGATTGATTCTACTACATAAATATAATGAAAATAGTGAAATATTTATATGTGAAATACGCTAATATTTTTTCAAAGTAATGCCAATCAAAAATAAATGTCCAAACATGACTAATCGATAGCCAGGAAGAGGACTTCCCTCCAGCTGAACCAATCCATGCGTGGATTTGCTAATGCATATTGCCATGCAACATTTGTTGCTTATATATATTCAACATATTTTATAGATCATATTTTTCCATGCATCATTTTCTAGTATACATGCACTGGAAAATCATGGAAGAAGATAGTGATGCCTGCATATAGTGCAAAAACTGTTACCTAGTGAATATGGAACAGCTGGAAAAAAATGGCAAACAAATTCCTCTCAAATGGCTCAACTACCACTACAGCAGAACCGCACAGACAAGTGTGAACTACATGCAGACATCATAATCTAAACAGTGGGATGACAAAAAGAGATTTGCTGAATCCAGCTTACAAAAAATAGCAGGATTTAACTACAGATCGTAAATACATTGCCAAACAAAACAAGATATACCGTTGTACCACGTCGAAGTAACTCTCTTGCAAATGGCAATACACCCAAAATGATATCAGCACCAGAGTTATCAACAAAGATAACAGCCTGTGAAAAATATGTTTCTCTGGCTGGTAAGTCCAGAATTATCACAAAAAATAACAGCCAGTAACAAGGATAGTTTCTCTGACTGGTAAGTCAAGTAATTAACAAGTAGGATACCGTTTGACAAAGGACCACAAAAGCACAAACAAGCATGAAGTGAGAACTCCATACACAGGCCTGCTCTTTCATGGTATCGTAAGAAGAGCAAAATATCAAGATAATGCTGCAAATATGCACCATGGATATACTGAAGACTGAAGAGGAGAGAAAGCATAAAATGTTGAGTTCCCATGCAGGAGTCAAAAGTCTCCACATTTGTAACAGAAGCACTAATTATTGCACCAAGAATTGTGGTGCATAGTGAGATTTTGAAGTCAAAAGAATATAGGAGATCATATGAACTCAGATGTAAAGATTTCACCAAGTTAATTTAGAAGACAATGAGGACAGGATGCTCAGTTCTGCTTACTCCTAGAAATTTCTTGAACAGCTTGCGGTCATATAAAATATAAGTAAAAGATAAGTAGGCATAGGCTAATTACAATCTTCTTACTTGGAAATAATCAACACTGAACTAAAAAATAATATAAGTTTTGACCTTTTGAATTTTTTTGTCATTACCATACTACATGTTATATTCACCAAAGGAATGTAAAGGGAGACTTTAGCTAAAAGGGGGAAATCTTACCTTCTTATGTTCACCAAAGGAATGCAAAGGGAAACATTAGCCAAAAAAAGGGAAAATATTACCTTCTTCCAAGTCTTCGTAGTCCATTTCATTTTAAAATCGTCCAAGTCATCAATAACCCAAGGTCGAGAAACAAGATTTTGACAACTAGCCAAGAAGGACATGCCATCCTTTGCAAACACCTCTGCTAGCTTCAAGAATGAAAAAATATATATATAAAAAAAGAAAACTAATTATACTTGGAAAGAAAAAATGCAACCACTCTCTTTTCATAATTAATTGATGAGAACATACCATAATATCTTCTGCTTGAGAAGATAAAATTTGTTAATTTTACACACTTCAGTACTAGGTAGGAAAAGATCACTGATCCACACACACACACACACAAGATGCCAGCTTAGTGCATAGCTAATAGTTACCGAGATCAGAGAGTCACAACATGTAAGACATTATTTCTCTATAGCACAGAGATCAAGATCATAAGACGAGAAACACCACTCATGTAGAATTTAATTTATCTTCAGCTGTAGAATCACTGTTATTGTCGGAGAAATCATGCCTCTAGAGTTGGTAGGCTATAATAATTCAATTGCACAAAGGCTCAGCAAACTAAAACTTGGATTACCTACCACAGACAAAGTTGGTAATTGTATATAATTAATGTCTGAATGATTCTTGCTCAAGGCATAGCAGATGTGTGATTAGTCATTGTGAACAAGAACGAGAGAGAGACCTTTTGTCCAAAAAAGTGGAATTGATGTAGCCTAGTGAACATGTTCAAGTGTTGAAAATTTCAAATTTTAAACTTTAGATATGAGGAATAGGATTATGCGTAGGTTGCCAGGTTACACATTATCAACCTGAACTGTTCCTTCAAAAACTTAATTCTCAACCTAATAGATGCAGAGGGAACCAAAGGATTATAAGCAAACCAGACCAATATAATATCAGTGATTTAAAAAGGCGCTCAGGCGCTCCCCTAGGCGCTCGGGCGAGGCGAGGCGAGGCCCGAGCGCCTCGCTAATCTCCCAAGCGACGCGCTTCAAACAGGCATAGCTTGGGCGCTCGCTCGAGCCCAGGCGCTGGGCACTTCGGGCGAGCGCCTAGGTTAACCAAGGCGATCGAACCAGGATTTTAGGTCTGGTTCGGTCCTGGTTCGGTCTCTGATGGTTAGTTGGTTCAATCGAACCAACTAAAATCGATATAAGTGAGAACCCAACCCTAACCCTCGCTGCTGCCGCTCCCGATCTCGCTGCTCGCCGCTGTCGCTGCTCGCAAA